TCCCCTTGGAAGCTAAACATAAGATATTTCACTGTCATCAAGTCTGGAAGAGTATTTATGCTGTGCTTGGACTAATGCCCAGTGACCGAGTATCAACAAAGTCATTAATCTGGATCATGTTTTCAAGTCTAGCATCAGTGAAAATCCTGTTTGTTTAAACGGAGATGATCTCTAGTTCACTGTGCTCATTACCTCTTATTCGTTTGAGAGAATATGCTTGACTCTTTCATTTACAAAATCTACCCGTTCAAGGAAAACTACCCTCAGGAAAGCATGGGATTTGTCTTGATAATAATTGATTACTTTTCATAAGAGAACTTAAATCAGGACATGAATAATGGATTGAATGTTACCCATGAACTTACAGTTATGGATTTCATTTCTGTTTAGCTTCACAAGGAGAAAAGTCTGTTCCCGAGGCATGTGATTGCAGAAGAATTTCCAGTTACTCAGGCGTTGGAGCCCTCCCTGCCCTTCTCTCTGGAGATTTAAAGCAGGTGTAAACACATCTACAATAAATGATGAGCAGCTCTGGGCTATGAACTGCTTTCTTCCCTTCTTGGCTGTAATTTTACCTGCCTCATAATCCTGAACATGATTTCACTGGAAAGAACACTAACCTTTAAACAAAAAGAGCAACTACAATCTTTTATTTTCCTACATAGTAAGGAAACTCATAAAGATGAGTTAAGTCTAATTTCAGGTCAATTCAATCTCCATGCTGTTGAGAAAAATGTAAGCAGGGGCCTGCTTGGAGGCAGTAGCTCATGAATTTACAGCTGCTCCAGTTGAATCCACCTAATGCTGTGAGCTAATGTCCATCTATCTGTCCTTTTTTTGTTGACAAAGAACAGAAAACTATACTGCACATATAATCAGATGTTTAAGGGGTTTTCAAGCAGAATCTTCAGAATCTGACTTTCTTAGCCTTTACCTTGACTTTGTATGAGAGGCAGCAGTTTCTAGAAACTATCTAGGTAAGATCCATGCCACCTAATCCCTGCAGTTTGCCAGTGTGATTAGATCTTACTCCCATGGTTGTGTTCTGCAGATGGGAGAGCTGACCTGCAAAAAGATTACCCAGGTGACCACACCTCAGCATCTAATCTTGAAAAGCAGAGAACTTTCTCCACCTGGTGGCAGAAGGGAAAATGAGAGAGATTTGAAGCATTGTTGGCTTGAAAGATGGTCAGGGACAAATGATAAAGAAGTGCTCCAATAGCCATCCAGCCAGAAAACAAGAACTTCACACCTGCACCCATGAGAAACTAGGCTGCCAACCTGAAGGGTCTTGAGAGAAGAGCCCAGCTGGCTGACACCCTGATTTTAGTCTTTTGAGACCCTCAGAAAACCCAGCTGGGACCATGTGAACTTTGAACTATAGCACTATGAGATAATGAATGGATAGTATTTTTAGCTGCTAAGTTTGTGGCAATTTGTTGTTGCATCAAAAGAAAACTTATACACCCAGGTAATTTGTTGAATTCCATAGCTTTTCTTTTTTTTTGTTGTGGTTCATAATTCACTTATTTTACAGGCTGTGTGGTCTCAGGTGAATTACTTGTCCTTGAGCCTATAAAACCTGCCTCACTGAGTTTTTACGAAGATTAAATGAGATCCACAGTGTTCACTGCACAATCTGATGTTCATCAGGCATTTAACCAAGCTCCCTCTCTGCATGTGTATTTACATAGCCCCCAGTCACTGTCTAAATACAGACCTTCCAGCATATTATTGCACAATTCTTGGTACAAATTCTTGGTAGGTGCTCAACACTTGTGCACTGAATTGACTGTATACACACCGTATTCATCAGATCAAATTCACGTTTATCAAATATTTGTGCTGGGAAATGAACAGATGAAAAAGATATATACAAAGTAGTCACTGTCCTCTACCTGCTCAGAAGTTTGCAGGGGGTTTAAGTAAACAAAGAATTGTAATACAATGTCATTCGTGGGTACCAAACGCTGAGGCTTCAGCATCTTTCCTCTGGGTCCAAAAGAAGTGATTTATCAAATAGAAATGAGAAGTGGAAGCATTCCAGGCAGTGTGGGTATAGCAGTTTGCAGTATCAGGGGAGGGAGGGAGCCTGATTTGGGTGGAATAGAGGGGATCCGARTGAGGACTGATTGAAGGGGGAACTGATTCTTCAGGCTGACGATGGACTGCACTCATGCTAACAGGTTTGGACTTCATGCTTCCAGCTCTGGAGAGCTCTCACAGAGGTTGTTTTTTTTTTTTTTTTTTAGAGAGAGAGAGAGAGAGAGAATTTTTAATATTTATTTATTTTTTTTTAGTTCTCGGCAGACACAACATCTTTGTTGGTATGTGGTGCTGAGGATCGAACCCGGGCCGCACGCATGCCAGGCGAGCGCGCTACCGCTTGAGCCACATCCCCAGCCCCTCACAGAGGTTGTTTGGCAGTACAGCAACCTGATCACACTTGCAATTAAAAAGAAAACACTGGATGGAGGGACTGCATGGAATGGATTGCAGGGGAAGGAAAAAACACAAAAACCTGCTGAGACTCTATTAATAGCACGGTCCTGAGATTCTAACACTTTAGTGTTATAAAAGAATGTACAATATGATGGATAGTAGAGCAGGGACTTCCTGTACAGGTGAAGCATAGTGTGGGCTAGTGATCCTCCAGGTTAGAATGGGAAGGACGGAAGCAGAGGGCAGTGGCCTGGGTCCCCAGAATTAAAAAACTATGGTCTGAATTGTGGTAGAACTATGAGACCAGAATAGCACCTTCTCAGGACCAGGTTGACTAGAGGTAGAAGTGAATTCCCTTTTTAAAAAAAWTTTTTTTTAGGGCTGGGGATGTGGCTCAAGCGGTAGCGCGCTCGCCTGGCATGCGTGTGGCCCGGGTTCGATCCTCAGCACCACATACCAACAAAGATGTTGTGTCTGCCGAGAACTAAAAAATAAATGTTAAAAAATTCTCTCTCTCTCTCTCTCACTCTCTCTTTAAAAAAAAAATTTTTTTTTAGTTGTGGATGGACACAACACCTTTATTTTATTTATTTTTATGTGGTGCTGAAGATCAAACTCAGTGCCTCACACATGCTAGGTGAACAGTCTACCACTAAGCCCCAGCCCTAGCCCCATGAATTCCCTTCTTATTGAGAACCTTCTTGGTGCCTAAGTGAAAGGAGGAAATGATGCTTGCTTCATAATAAACAGCCAGAACTCCTTTTCTCCTAGAAACAATGTTATAAAGTGACTTAACATTACTACAAAGAGGTTAAAGCTAGCTTCTTCCATGTGCAGCCCTGTTTCTGACATCCAGACTCTTTGGAACTTTTTTCTATTGAATATTTCATTATCAACCAGATGTTTGGAACATGACCTTTATGTAAAGTGGAGATTGACTATCTCTGATTAAATTTATAATCATCTTAGTTCATCAGCTGTAAATTCAAGATTGGAGAATTAGAAGTCATTACCCCTGGCTTGATAACATTTCAGTTTAAAAATGAGTCACAGGGCTGGAACTGTAGCTCAGCAGTAGCACACTTGCCTGGCATGTGTGAGGCACTAGATTTTCTGCCACGTGACCAGCATTCGAACTTCATAATAGAGGTTTGAAGCATAAAAATTAACTAGTGAGTTTTAAAATTAAAGAGACATAATTCTCGTTACCTTTAATGCCCAGCTCCAGAGACGGCTCCTCCTAGCTCCTGCCTCCAGCCACCAAATCGCTATCGAGGTTAACACAAGAGGCCAGCGAGAAACAGAGAACACGCCAGGGAGTGAGATTTTATTGGGGGAACAAAAAATTCAAGGGAAAATTCCATTCAATGAATGTCGAGGGGGGGGCATTCCAAGGTCAGGGTCAGTGATTGGTCTTCGGGTCAGTGGTCAGGCACACCTCCACATGGACAAACCCTCGCACCTGGGACAGGGTGGGGAAAGCTCTGACACAGTTGTGTCTAAGCGCCTCTCACCCAGCCAGGGAGGTAACTCAAATCACATACGAGAATGGCTTCCCACAGGGTTTGATTCTCAGCACCACATATAAATAAATAAAAATAAGTAAAGGTCTATCAAGAACTAAAAAAATATTTTAAAAAATGAGTCAGTTTTGTTTTTAAAATTAGAACTTTATTTGTGGAATCAAGATTTTAAAAATGATTTTACATATTAAAGTATGCAATATAATTTGATACATTAATCTTGATATTTACCATAAGATTAAAAAAAAACAATGTCAAATAGCTTATAATCAAAACAGATTGTTTAACTTGATATTTGTATGGAATAACTTCAGCATTATAAATAAAACTAAAACAAATACCATTTAAACTTGCATTCCTAATACAATTTTGTTGGCTAAATTTTTTTGATTAGAGAAAATATAGGATAAAATGATGTACTTGTAATTTATAGACAAGTCAATGTCCTTGTTTTATGAAAATGACCTTGTTGGTTCTCTAGCAGAGAATGCATTTGAGACACTTTTCTCTCTGTGATGAAGGGCCATGTTGTGTGATAGAGGTTCCTTCTGGACGATCGGCCCACACCTAGGAGATGAGAGGATGATGGTTTCTGGCTGGGGGGTGGGCAGAAGCAAGTCTGGTCTCATTAATACCATGTTCTATCTGAACTCATAGTATTATTCAAATGAGGATCAGTCAGATGAATAAAAAGCCTGATGTTTTCTGAAGCTCTAATATATGATATTTCATAGATATTATAAAAACCATATATAATCCTGCTTTAACAAAAATAGCTTTCACATTCAGTTCTACATAATAAGGACACTACTGAAATGCACTGGCCCATGTTAATATTACTCTGCTGATGTGGAGAAAATGAATTCTGATGGTAAGATCCATATATAGATACACATATATACACATATATAAAAATACGTAGTCTATATCAGATATGTATCAACATCTTTATTTAATACAGGTCATTTTTTTTTAGTTGTCAATGGATATTTATTTTGTTTTCTATTTATATGTGGTGCTAACAATTGAACCCAGTGCCTCACACATGCTAGGCAAGTGCTCTACGACTGAACCACAACCCCAGCCCTACATTTTTAAATGAAGAAATTCTTCTTTTGGAGCATAGTCAGTTGGGACACCTGATTTGACAAAATTTGATGGCTAGCAACAAAACATCCTCTGATTATAATATGTTACTAAATCACTTTCTAATTTTTTCTCTCTCAGGAGCTTATAACAATCTTGCATGTTAGCAAGGGTGGGTACGAATATTCTCACTTAACAGGTGAAGAAACAGGAGCCCAGAGAGGTTAACTTGTTTCAGTTCACACAGTTGGTAAATGATATAACTAAGACTATAGCTGGTGGTCATGCTTAAATGCTTGCTGACAATGGTGAAGGATGCACTCATCTGTGGATTATTTTCTGTAAACCCAACTGATAATGTGGTGTCTGAAAAGTGGTTTTGCTACTGTCATTAGAAATATCTACCAGGTGCTGGTGGGTACTCATGTAATACCCCAACAAACTTATACCAATGGCCAGAAATACTTTTTACAAGTCTCACAGAGCATTTGTATGTATATAAGAATGTTTAAACATATATTTACAATTATTCCTATATCACCAAGATATCACATTGATAAACAGATTTAATTTTTTTATAAGAGCATTTTCTATATAGTCATTCCAATAAATGTATGAAACATATAAATATAGTCTTGGCACACTTTAATCTTTGCAGGTGCACTAGAACCTAGATGCCTTATTCTGCCCACTCCTGCTTTGGATTGTTTACAAACTCATTTACACACTTGTCAGTTCCTTGAGGATGAAGACTGAGCTGATGTCACTGTCACTGACAAGCTTACCCCAGGGCTGTACACATGGCAGGCATTCAGTCAGTGCTGAATACATGCACGTGTTCTTTCTGTGCTTCAATTTGGTTAAAGTAGGATTCTATCTGTAGCGTTTTGCCTGAAAGACTGAATTTATAATAAAACATCATTTTCATAGTAAACAGTATTTTAGAAAATATAAGAAATGTGATAACAAATTTAGTACAAATTATGCATTTAACTATTCTTTGGTTATTTTTAACAAATTATTTGTTTTTTTTATATACTAAAACGATACTAAAATATAAAAATGCAACTGCAGAAGTTAGCTTAACCTGTAAACATAATAAACCCTGTAAACATGTATTTACTACATAATTGTGCAAGTATAAAGAGAGACTAGTAAAGGCAAGTATTACACATTTAACTCAGATCTTCAAGGCATATTTAGAAATACTGCTTTGTGGAGCTTTAATGTTGCATGAAGGGGTTCTTCTAACTACACTAAAAACTTGAAAAAGTGGTAACTACACTAAGGAACCAAAAGGCTATACAGGCCAGAGGAAGGCTTAGTACTTTTCACCTATTGCACAGAGGAATTTACTTCACATGTCTTATGAACCACCTTGTTTAGTATAAGGATGTCAATTAACAAAAGCCAAATGCTTTTGATGTGAAGAAGTAAATGATTTTTTTTGCAAATGAGTCAAATGATTAAAAAATTAGGTAACACATTTTACAAGTTTTTTTTCCAAAAATCTGGGCAGTAAGGTGCATTAGGCAAGTCTAAGATAATAAATAGTGTAAGTAGCACTAAATATATTGTAGTTTAATCCATATGAAAGTATTTCCCCCAAAATTTCAGTTTTCCTTCTCAAAAAGCATCAAACTTTTCACACATGACACTTATCACAGATATTTCACAGTTATAATTTCAGTAGTTTAAGAAAGAACTGCCTGGCAAATACTGCAAAAGAGGTAAATGTTAAGGATAAAACTCACTATTTCAGGCACACAGGACTTATATCCTGTAGTGTGAACTCCAAAGATAGAATGAGATAACTGTATTAATGCAAAACATTACTTAAAAGTGATTGAAATAACAGTAAAACCGTCATACTATTTCTTCTAGTGTTTTAAATGATTTTCTCCAATATCTGGGAAGAATCAGTGGCCAAGTTTTAGCAGTTCCCTGGAAAACCTGAAGTTGTGAATCTGCTTATAAAACCGTGGCAGTAAAAACACCAGAGACTGTTATTTGTAATCTAATCAACTCCATCAAAACCCTGAGCGTTTTCAATCGCCATCTGAAGTTTATCCCATAATTCTTCAAATGATTCATAGGGTGGCAAGTCCAAGCGATTAAAGCTGAAAGAACAGAGAGGAACTGGTTAGGAAAGACACTGGCAAAGCAAGTCTCATTGTCGGCAAACACAGTGCTACGTGGGATGAGTGTGTTCCCACAGCACTACAGACGTCCTCTTACTGGGACAGAAGTCATGCAGGACTGGACTCTAAGCATGGACTCTCTCCATGACTAGTTGGTAGATTCCTCCTATACCTACCTCAATTTCCAAATACCTGGGTTCCTGCCATTTCAGTCTTTGAAAGGGAGTGTGTTGGTTCCTGCTGGGATAGCTCACTACCCACGCAATGGTGGCAACATATGGTCAAGAGGTGAGATGGGTCTCTCCAGTATTCAACTACCTAGTCTTTGAGACCTGGCCTACCTGGTGAAGAAACACCTGTGTCTGGGTTAGTGTCACTGTCTCCTCCTCCATAGCTGCCACCAACACGGCAGAAGATAGGGCTAGGCCAGCTGTAGCTAGAGGAACACTTAGGAAAACTTTCTACTCTCTAAGATTTTGTTCTATGGGGAGTTAGGGGCCGAAACAACTGCTTACCAGGTATGAGCTCTTGGCAGCTTTTCAGGGGTACCCCACTGTTCAACTGTAAATGACTGTGGTCCATTTGAGCCTATAAAAAAAAGGAGTGTTTCTTTGATTTTACTTACTCTAAGCAGGAATCCCTAGGTATTTCAAAACCCAAGCCTGACTGCGCTTGATGGCTTCATTGTCAAGCCATGAAATGAGGTTCCTTGTCTGTTATTTGTGAGTACCTTGTCCTTCTGCCTCTGGCATGGTGCCCCTGATAATGCCTTTCCTATTTGCTAGCACTGAACACAACTGCATTTCTATGAATGATTTCCTTTATAGCTACACTGATATTTCTTTTTTTTGAGTCCCACTGAAAATATCTTTAATTTTTTGGATTATTTAAATAATGTCATTGTAAAAATCAAGGTAATAGAATAAGATATAATGAAGGATATAAAAATCATATAAAATCCTACCATTAATTCTTGGTAAATATTGTCATGCATTTTTGTGTCATGCATGTGCATATTCATATAGAGAATTTTATGTGTATATGTCCTGTTATACAGTCTACAGTTTTATTCCATTGTGGACGTTTCTAGATACCATCTCTTTTTTTCCTTCAGAGTTTTCACTTAGTTTTTCTTTTTCCAATCTTCAAATCCACCAACCACTAAATAATCAGTGTCGACAACCTAATCTATAACTTTCCATACTTTTCTTCATATCTCTAATTGCATCCAAATGTGTATGTATAATTGCCAGAAGTGGCACTAAAAATATTCAGTATTCTCTGTATTAAAAGTTTTCTCAAAAGCATAAGTTTTCATACATTGCCCATCACAATTATGTTCACAGTTAGAATTTCAGTCTTTGCCATCATTTTCCATAACATAGGATCATATTATGTACACTCTTGATTGTTTCACCCAAATCATCTAATGTGAAAACTCCAAGTTTGCTGAGAGACACTTAACATATTTTTTTGACTGGCTGTATTATGTTGTGTTATAATACTACTATTTTAAAGCAACCATTACTTCTTTCTGTAAATACATACACATTTGCATTTATATTTAACAAATGATGGGCTCTGTGTGGGATATTTCCCTCAAATTCCAGACCGTTCATGAAATCAGTGGACGGCTGTAGGCCTGGGTTGAATAAAAGAGGGAAGGTGGAGCAGCTAGAGACGGAGAGGGATATTTGTCTGTGCTGCCTAGATTTTCTCTACTAACTGGCTAGAGAAGATAAAGGCAAGGGAGTTGTGGTGAGTCTATTAAAAAGACAAAGGCTAAGAATTACAATTAGGTGAGGAACGAACCAACTGGCTAGTAGCAAAGCTAATAACCACTCTGAGTGGGAGCCCTGTGTAGAGAAGCTGCCTGACACGTTAAGCAAACACATATAAATAAGCTTCCGAAGAAGACCAGGTGTGCCAAGAAGACAGAAGGCTGGCAAGACATCAGATAGAAACTGCTTCTATTTGCATGAAAAATTCAGGTTGGCAATTACCTGCACAGTCCCTGACTTCTAGCTCCCAAGAAACAGTTCTTTATTGCTCTAAGAAGGACTTCAAATTTAACTACACCTTTGCTTAAAGGTTTGTTCCTCATATCTTTTTTTCTTTCTTTCTTTTTTTTTTTTTTTTGGTGGTGCTGGGGATTGAACTCAGGGCCCTGTGTGTGGGAGGTAAGCACTCTACCAACTGAGCTATATCCCCAGCCCTATTTCTCATATCTTTATGGATTTTTTTTCCCTTTGTAGTGCTAAAGGTTGACCCCAGAGCCTCATACACTCTAGGCCTCACACAGCTCTATTACTGAACCACATCCCCATCTCTTTTTAAAACTTTATTTTGAGACAGGGTCTCACAAAGTTGCTGAGGCTGCCCTTGAACTTTCATCCTCCTGTCTCAGCCTCATGAGTCACTGGGATTACAAGCATGTGCCACCATGCCTGGCTACATTTGTACTTTCATAGTAATTTTCATTGTTTGCTTAACATATACCAAGTTTAAAACTTTGTAATATCAAAGAAATTTCAAGAAGTCTTTTTTTATAAAACAAATACCATGCAATAATGCCTTCCATTTGTATACTTTCTGTAATCCATTGTTTTCTCAAACTTAAATTTCATACACTCTTACCAGCTATTTTATAATTTTTTAAAAAAGATAAAACACAGATCTGTATCAGAAATAGTACTTTTTAATGAAACACTCTGGTGTGTAAATTTACCAATGACTTGGGAGGTTGAAATGGTAGACAGTATTGAACCCTGTATATATTGTTTTTTTCTATGCATATGTGCTTATGATAAAAAGCTAAATTTATAATTAGGCACAGTATGAGATGAACAACAATAACTGTTGAGAGCCACAGCCAAAGGGGCCCCAGCAAACTTCCAGCTGCCAGCAAACTTCCAGCTGCCGGCTGATGATTGGCTCACAGTGGCCCCAGCAACATCTAGCTGATTGGCTCCTCTGCAGTCATGTTCATTGGGCTGTTTCCCTGCCCTTCAGACTGCCAGCTGATGATTGGCTCACAGTGGCCCCAGCAACATCTAGCTGATTGGCTCCTCTGCRGTCATGTTCATTGGGCTGTTTCCCTGCCCTTCAGACTACGGAACTGCTCATTGGGGGACTTCTTTGGCTCCGCCCACGCGACCTAGCCAATCGGCCTCAAGAGCAGGAGGATTGTGGGAGGTGGTTGTTGGTGTGTGGGAGAGGCGTGTGGAAGCTGGTAGTGGCAGTTGGGCTCTGAGGGTTTTTCCTGAGGAGCTGTTTTGTTTGGCGTTTGTAGTTTTAAAAATAAAGTTTGTTTCTTTTGACAAGTGGCTCCTGAATTGTGCCCAGCCAGACTGCGGCAAATAACCAGTAACAAAATAGAACAATTATACCAGTATACTATAACAAGAGCCATGTGATAATTGTCTGTTTCAAAATATCCACTTAAAGTTTCAGTTTGTGGCTGGCTGAGGGCACTGAAATCACAGAAAAAAAAACCCCTCAGATCAGAGGCAACCACTGTATTTTCCTTAGTCAGCTTTTCCCCAGGTATATTTTGCAAAAATACTCTTTGTTTATTATTGTATGCTAATTAACATTCAAAGGAACTTGAAATGCTGCACTGAACTATCACTCTAGCGGCAATGCTTGTTCTGTACTGGAAGCATAGTAGGAATAGAATTTAAAGTTCAAGAATGGAAATTGGGCTGGGGTTGTGGCTCAGGTAGAGTACTCCCCTAGCACAGGCGAAGTCCTGGCTTCGATTCTCAGCACCACATAAAAATAAACAAATAAACTAAAGATATTGTGTCCAACTACAACTAAAAAATAAATATTAAAAAAAAATGGAAACTAACTTGAGCCATTTTTCTGTTTTTTGCCTCCATTTGATTAGCAGGTATAAATAATGGCCTATTTCAGTGTTTGTAATTCTATCACTTAAAAATCTAAATTCTTTTTTTTTAAATCAAGCCAAACACATTAGTGTAAATGATAGGCACCTGAAGATTAATGAGTCATAAAGACATTTGGCATCACTCCATTTTTTTCCATGATCCATGGAAAATCCTTACCATATAGTTCAGCAAAACCATTCATAGGCACACGGGATGTGCCAGTGACAAACTGAAGTAATCTTATTCTTTTTTCTGAATCCATCATTAAAACAGCCTGAATGAGATAAAAACTTCATTTAGGAAAGAGTACTGGAAAAAAAGTAAAAAAGTTATCCAGAAAAATATGCTATCAGAATTTAGCAAGAGACTTAATAATTACTTATTAAATTTGCATGTTTTCTTCTTTAAATTTGTTTTTATAGTTTATAAGCTCTTGAAATTTTATATACAAGTCTTCATGTTAACTCTTTAGAATGGGATTATGGCCTAATGAAGTATAACAAAAACATCTTTTCAGATGTGACTTATGACTTTATTTGTTTATTTAGTACCAGGGATTGAATTCAGGGATTTCACCACTGAGCTCCATCCCCATCCCTTATTTTGAGACAGGGTTGCTAAGGCAGGCCTCAAATTTATAATCCTCCTGTCTCAGCCTCCTGAGTGGCTTGGAGTATAGGTATGCACCACTGTGCCTGGCTATGACTCACGACTCTTTAAAAATTACATTAATTGATGTCATTGAATGACATACAGCAGGGGTCCTCAAAAACACACTGCAGGCTATGACAGTTCTCTTAAGAGTCCCCACTTTAGTAAAAAAACTATGCCTATTTCAACCTATCATAACCATTTACTACATTCTAAACACATTCCTTACTTATTTCTAAATATTTATGGCAGTTGGGACCACRCCCAGAAGATGTATGTACATATGTAAAACCAAATGTAATTTTTGATGGGCTACATATTTTTCTGCATTATCTATATGTAATCTACTAGTATACTTAATAAAGAGTTGACATAAATTTGATTTAACCTACCACAAAATAATCTGTGAAAACATAAGTTTCAAATTACCTTCCAAAACCACTGTATGACTTGATGATTTACATTGTAGCCATTTTTATACTTTGTATGTTCTTTCCAGTCGTTCACATCCACATCTCCCAATCCACACATAAGAAGCTACATAATAAGAAATGTAATAAGAACTATTAAGCAAGAAAAATAATGAGTACAAAACTTCTGTTTCAATATAAAATAATCTTTCTTACCTCCAGTTCATTTTCATCAAAAATTTTGATGAGATCCTGTGGTATTAGTTCAAAGAATCCCTAGTAGGAAAAAAAAATACATATTTTAAAACCTGGTTAGCAGGCTCAGTGGACATTTTTATACTTCAGGTTCTGGGTCTCACTTTCACATAAATTTTTACCACTATATATTTATTCACTGATATCTCAATATTGACAAGAAAATATATGTGCCCATAGTCTGTTCTCTTTCATTATTCCTTAAAACGATTCTTTTAAAACATTCCTTTACTTATCAAACTTCTTCCTCCCCCACATTACCATTTTTAAAAAAATGTTTTTAGTTGTAGATGAACACAATATCTTTATTTTATTTATTTATTTATTTATTTTATGGGGTGCTGAGTATCCAACCCAGTGTGCCTCACGCAGTGCCAGGCAAATGTTCTATCACTGAGCCACAAACCCAGGCCCCACATCACCCTTTTTTTTTTTTTAATTATTTGTTCTTTTTAGATATACATGACGTCTTCCTTTCTTTACAAGCAGATAATTTCTATTTGAGAAAGACAATAGAGGTAATTATGCAGCATGACATCCATCTAGCCTGCCCACTGCAGAGCACAAGAGGGAATCACCTCATTCCGCAGGCCAGCCTCTGCAGGTACTTCATCTGCTACTTTGGGGAGGTCATCTCATGGACTGGGGTTTGAACTCAGGGGCACTCGACCACTGAGCCACATCCCCAGCCCTATTTTGTATTTTATTTAAAGACAGAGTCTCTCTGAGTTGCTTAGTGTCCCATTTTTGCTGAGGCTGGCTTTGAACTCATGATCCTCCTGCCTCAGCTTACAAGGCGGCTGGGATTACAGCTGCCACCACACCCAGCACTCACAGCCAAGTTCTTGACAGTTCATTTACTGACTGAATCCAGTTGCTCCTCTTCTAACTCTCCCTTCACCCACTTCCATCTGAGATCTAAACTACTGCTTCCCTGGAACTCTTCTGGAAAAAGTCAAAGTCACCTTTGTAGCTATATCTAATAAACACTTCTCATTCCTTATTTGACTTCTCTGCAGTATGATATTGTTAAAAATATCTTTGTTCTTGAAACTTTGCTCTTGATATCTCACACTGCCCATCTTTGTCAATCTCCTCTGAGGTCACCCTTTTTACCATCTGTTCACAAACAACACTGAAGATGCTGGTTCCCAGGCCTCCAGGGTGGCCACCTACCTTCACTCTTTTTCATTTCCTGTCTTCTCTAGCCCACAGCCTCGAGAAACAAATGCAAATGATCCCAAATCCATATTGTCACCCCAGATCATCCCTATCTTTAAATATCCCTTCTTGAATACCACTGAGATGCGGGGACAATGCTCTTCCCACCCAAGGTCTATACCTACATTACTAGGCAGCCCTTTCTCCACTGCTGGGAAGTTTGCTGCTAGGCTTGCCCTCCCTGATTTCACTTGCAGAATGATTTGAATAAAAAGTGAATTGAATCCTGGTGTTTTATTGTTTAACAGCCTTTAATCCCACCTCATCCTTCCTCTCACTTGACTTCAGAGAGAATGCCAAGCTCTATGCTTGACAAACAGGTCTGGTGCTGTCAGCTCACAAGGCTTATTCCTTCCCTCTTGCTTGCTCAAGCCACCTCACTCCATTGCTTGTATTTTCTCTAATGTGCACATAGCCCGGTCCTGCCAGACCCCACCATGCTGCCAACTCATTCTGCAGAAGGGCATTTCTCTTTATGCTTGGCCAATACCACTAGTCCTTCCTTCACCTCTCCCCACTCTCTTCTGCATTCGTCTCACACTTTAGATCGAATGTTCCTTGATGGCAGGAACCATGTCCTTTTGCTTCACATAGCACTAGACACATAGAGTGCAATACTGAATAAATGAAAAAGTACATGATACATACTTAACAGAAGCTTTTAAGTTAGCTTAAGAAATGAGTGCGCTAGGGGCTGGGGTTGTGGCTCAGTGGTAGAGCACTCGCCTTGCACGTGAGAGGCCCTGGGTTTGATCCTCAGCACCACATAAAAACAAACAAACAAACAAATAAATAAAGATATTATGTCCAACTACAACTGAAAAATAAATATTTTTTTTTAAAAAAGAGTGCTCTACAATAGCCTACGTGTCCGCCAGGTGGGGAAGCTTAAATACCTTATGAATTCACATTACAAATAAAATGTGACCACAAAGAAGGGTAGCAATGAGATGTAAAGGTCTCCAGTAAATATTTGATAAGGGAAGAAAGCACGTCATAGAACACTAAGTAGGATACAATTGTATTCAGGAAAAAAAAAAAAACAAAAAAACACATCACACTTATCCTTAGAGCACTCTAGTTCTTGTGTTCTCCAAAGGTTACTGAAGGCAAGGAGAGTGGCACGGGGGAAAGGTGAGGGGCAGTGAGAGGTGTCGAAGGGGACTGTCAATGTTCATTGTTTAGACTTCTCAAATGATTGAATTTTAATGGCAAACATCTATTCATGGAATATGTTGTTAACACATAATTAAGAATGGTTGTACAAAATAAGCATATACTTATTTTATTCAGATGCAGTGAGGCCCAATATTTGAAACTCATAGATTTTATTTTGTAATTACAGAAAAGCAAACAAAAGAAAATGAATACCTCTTTAAAAGCAGCCATTTGCTTCTGGATTCGGTTGACGAATCGCCACTGAATTACAAGACTAAAAAAAAAAAAAAAAAAAAAAATCCAAACCAACAATATTGCTCTTTCTCACATAAACCAAGGAAAAAGTCTTAAGACATACTTATTCCAGTTATAAACAGAAAATAAAAACTAGTTAAGCCCAAGGCAAATGTTGAATATAAGCAGTTAATACCATATTTTATTTCTCTGAGAAAAAGAACATTGAGATTCTGGCCATAGAGGAATAGAAAGAAAGCAAGAAGTATTGTCTCAGAAGAAAAGTAAAAAATTATCTCTAAGAAAATACTAATAAAATACTTACTAAATGTACTCCTTTTTGTTCTTATTGGTGACAACAATTTCTGATCCACCATTTTTCAACTCGTGTTGATGTGTCTAAAATTGAACAGGATACACTGATATGTTATTTTAGTGAAAAAAATAAAAAAGTATAAATATTATAGTTATACCAGAAACCTGGTATTTTAAATTAAATCCATTCAAAAGCTAAAAGCTAAGAAAACTTAAATATTAGTTCTACTAAAATAAATATGGAATGAGTCAAATGTCAAAGAAAACACAATTCTTGCTGAGAGACAGCTTTTGTTATTGGAAAATAAATGTAAAAATAGAGCACAGAAATGTGTATTAACCCCTAAACTTAAGTTACAACATTATGTTTCAAAAACTATGTTTCACTTTGAGAAAAATCCACAAACCTGTCCAAAAAGTTCTTCATCTATGATAAACCTGAGGTCCAATTCTGTTGGATCATTTTCAAGAATCCATCTTAGTGAGTTGTAATATTCACTGTCCTAGATCAGAAAAATCGCATTTTAAGAAATATATAAAGACACCTGAATTTGGAAGAAAAAAGTAGGATAAGAGTCTGAATAATTGGGAGAAAGATGAAAGGGTTGGACATCTTCTCTATATATACATACAATTACTACAAAGTGACAGATCACAGGTTAGCGCAAGAGTAAAAATCTATCAACCAACAGAGTGGTTTAGAAATCTCTCTGTATGTGAAAATAGTGGTGGTATAGATTTTATTATTCAATTAAAGGATTAAAGAAAGCAGTTTTTAGAGAAGTCTTTACTTCCTGGATATCCTGGATATCTCATGTGGCCTATGAGTCTGTATGAAATATTTATGTAGCTATGAGCAGGTGTTTGTACCTGGCCCAAGTTAAAGAGAAATCTCAAATACAGGACTTCAACTAACCCACTCAAATAACTGTACAATCTTAAGATTTATGAAGAATCATACTGCTTTGCACTGATAATGTGTAACAAGGAAGGAATAAAAAACTTAGTATTTAGCAGGAGCTCTTGGAATCCATGTGTGCTCAGGGAGTTTTTCTTTGGGTTTCTTTTCTTTATAGCCCCCCCCCCCCCAAGGCCTGCCTCTGCGCTGCCATTTTTAAAGCACATACCATTCATCATAAAAGACCAAAATTCAAATACTGATGTAAAAAATATCTCACTGTTGTGTAGTGTAATGTATTTAGGGGGAAGTATACTGATAATTTCTGCAATTTACTTTGCAATGTGTGAAAAAACTAAGATGTATTGATGGACACAGTTTATAATAAATATAGAAAATAAGTCAATTGTGAGTGTTAGATACATGCATGTATGCCATAACATTCTTTCAATTTCATTTATCTTAAATATTTGTTTTAGTTGTAGATGGACACAATACCTTTATTTTATTTGTTTATTTTTTTACATGGTGCCAGAGACAGAACCTAGTGTCTCATGCATGTTAGGCAAGCGCTCTACCACTGAGCCACAACCCTAGCCCTCAACTTTATTATGAAAGAAAATTTTCTTAATAGAATGAGGAAGGTGTTCATTGGTAGTCCGAAACATTAAAAGCTAATTCTTCAAAATGTTCAGCTGCCTGTTAAATTGTCATCTCTCCACATGAAAAAGTGAAAAAGACCTACCACTGATTCCATGTCATGAAGTGTTATTGGTTTGTGTAGCATCATCTTGTAAAACGGGCGGATGAAAAAACCTTGTAAGAAATTAAATATATTTAAAATGATTACCAAGTGAAAGAAAACAGATGATTACATTTAAAAAATTTTTTTTTGTGGTTGATACTAACCATCCAACAGCTTGCCATGATAAACTGCCATCCCAGCTACCCGGCCAATAAACTTGAAGTAAGAGAGGTGATCTTCATTACATAATCCAGAGTTTGGATTTATCTGAAGAGTATAATTATCCCTGAAAAGACAACAACATCTAAATGCTTCTCTTGATATTTAAGAGAAAAATTTTAATAGGACAAATAATTCTACTGAACTATACTTGACCATTGGACTTCATGGTTTTAAAAAGAGTAATTTCAGTCAAAAGGTAGAAATAGTGCAATTGTCCATTGACAGATGAATGCATAAATAAAATATGGTATAAACAAATAATAAGAAGGTAGAAAATCATAGCGCACGCTATACCACGGATGAACCCTGAGGTCATTATGCTAAGTAAAATTAGACACAAAAGGACAAATACTGTAGGATTCCACTGAGATGAGGARCCTAAGAGTGGTTGAATTCCTAGGAAAGAAAGGAATGGTGGTTTTCAGGAGTCAGGGAGTCCAGTGTTTAATGGGCACTGAGTTTCATTTTGGGAAGATGAGAGCTATGGAGATGGATGATAGTGATGGTTGCCCAACAAAGTGAATGTACTTAAGATGCCAGTGAACTGCACACTTAAAACAACTAAAATGATAAATTTTATGTTATATATACTTCAACACTGTTTTAAAAAGTCATTTCTGAAATATCAGTTATAATCTTTCTTTTCTGGTGTTGTAATATACATTCCCTTATATCATGCAACTCTGTTACATTATTTCCAGAATAGTGATTTTTTCCCCCTTCTGTACACAGGCATTTAAAGATGCTTATGCTGGATGCAGTGGCATACATCTATAGTTCCAGTTACTTGGGAGGCTGAGACAGGAGGATTTAAGGCCACGAATTTAAGGCCAGCCTGGGCAACAGTAATACCTGTCTCAAAAACAAATAAATAAATAAATACAAATAAAGGTACTTACGTAGCAGAATATTCAAACAACCCATAATAAGGGTTAAACATTTCCTTTGAGATCAGGAAGAACCATTCTCTGGCAACTCCTCCATAATCTAAACCCTTTTCACCATCAAACTCAATCCAGAGTCGAGCCTTGAGGAAGTCAGCTCTCTTGACACCCATAATTCTCCGGTAGGAGTCCTCGAGAACAGTTGCACGGCGAAGTTTCATTTCAAATTTGTTTGGAATGTCATTCTGAAAATCCAGAGAAGAGAGACTTATGGTTTAAACCAACTCAACACAATGACACTTTTCTCTCTTAAGGAAGTCATAACATTCACGGTATTCCACACTGTGCCCAAGTCCCTTTTTCTTTCAGAAATGCAGTCAGGGGAAACATAAGCAGCACGTTGTCTTGATATTCCAATGTGGTATGAAAGGATTCAGGCATCTTCTCTAATCGCTTACTGACAAATACTTCTGATTTTTATATCTAAAGAAGTTATAGATGATGATGATAATGCTCACATAGAGGCATTTCATGAATCTTGGTTTCCATATTAAGTTCCAAGAAGGCTATTCTGTGACCAGTAGTCTAGCCATTGCCCGCTTTTGCCTGCCTGAATATTCAGGGCTTCCCCTAGTTCCATCTCTCTCTTTGCAGTCTGTTTTGTTTCACTTACTAACACATGCTAACATTTGCAGACTATGCCAGGCACTGCTTCCTGCATTTTAACACATCAACTCATTTATTCTTCATAACAACAATGTGAAGAAGCTATTATTATTCTTCATTTCACAGAAGAAGAAAATGAGGAAAATAGAAGTTAAGAAAGTCTGTGCTTCTGCTCTTTGTACAACTTTTTTTTTTTTGGACATCTTATGCTTACATGACAAATATAGTTATGTATTGCTTGGGCAGATCTCAATTTTATAAAAATATATCAGAGTATTTTATTTTTGAGTGCTTTGCGTGCAACTTTCAAGTGGAAACCATTAGTTAAGATATGCTATCAACATTCTCTCACTTCAAAAGAAAAAAAAAAAAAGAGCATTAGTGCCAAGGAGACAAACATCAATTTACCCTTAGTAAACTTAGGGAATATAGAAAGCCCTAAAGAACATATTAACATAAGCAGTTTATATAAGCAATGTAAGCAAAATATAAGTAGTTTCCTTTATTGCTTGTGTAATTTAAATAACAGCAAGATTGGAGAAGAGCAAGTTTAGACTGGCTACTAGGCAGCTGATGTAGCTAAGTCACTCACTTGCTCTGGGACGGGTCCCATCTGGGTGGTACCATCATGGGGCCAGGGATGGGAGGAATAGATAATAAAAACATGGCATAAGATGTGGCTGCTGCCTTAAAGAGTTTGCAATCTGGTGTGCAGGTGAGAAACAAGTGTAAATGCTACTAATTCTGGAACTTAAAAGAGCAGAGTAATTGCTTCTAGGTAATGTTCTGTGGAAGCACAGAAGATTGAGCTTTTAATTATAAATGAGGCAATCAAGGAATTTTTGAGAGGAAGTCTTTGTACAGGARAGGAACAGAGGGAAGAATTGAGGAAAATCAGGAAGGAGGCATCTGATATATTTCATAGCCAGAGGATGTGGTAGGAGGAAGAGAAGGAAAAGGAAGGGAAGGAAAAACAGAGATTGAAGTAAAAGAAGAAGGTGAAGAAGTAGTCTGGGGCCAGAGGTGGACAAGTGTGAATACCAGATGAAGAAGAGAGTCTCTGAGCAGAGGTGCCTCCTGGTCAGAAGCTCCTCAGATGCTGATGGGGTTGGGTGTAAAGGGTGGTTCTAAGGGGAGACAAGTGTAACCCTGGTCAACTAAGGCCCCTGAAATACCCCATGTGAGAGAAGACAAAGAGACTTCTGAGGGAGAGATGGTACTGGAAGAAGAGTGGGCCATGGAATTGGTGTGTGAACGAAGCAGTGACCTAGGACATGGCCTGATCTCAAATCAGGCCCTATGTTCAAATCCTGACTCTACCATTTGGAGCCTGACTTTGGATAAGTTATGAGCCTTTTCTAAGGCTGAATTTCTTTACCTGTTAAATAGGGAAAATAATATCTACCTCACAGGTTGTTCAAGACTCAATGGCATAATACATTTCAAGTGCTTACATGCTATCTGGTACATGGTGAGCACAATAATTATTAGTCATCTTTATTCCTTCTAATGAGAAGCTGAGAATAAAGAAAGGAAAATGTTAAAGATAGCTCAAGGCTTTTAAACATTGGTTATTAATATTTAAAAAAATTTCTGTCTTATTTTTATTTTTGTTAATCTGAGGATTCAGATTCTCAGTCCTCTCTCTGTGGCCTTGAATCTCCTGGAATGACACTAGGTCACTTAACCTTCCTTTCATATGCTTATCTCTTTCCACATTCTGGGTAATTTCCATACAAAACATCTGATCACCAATATGATATGTCCTGTTGGTCAGGAACATGGACCTGGAGCCAGACCATGTAGTTTGAATCTGGCTTTTCCACTTAATAAATGTGAGACTTGATCACATTGCCTACCTCTACGTGTCTCAGTTTCCTCACCTGTAAAATGTGATAATAGTCCTTTCTTTACAGAATTACTATAGAGATTAAATAAATAATACATGCAACCTGCTAAAAAGAATGCCTAGTATGTTATGAAAAATCAATAAATTATCTTATTTTCATTATGGCTTCTGTGGCCTGTTAACAAAGGCCTTGTCTCTTATCTCTGTGCCTAGCTGACATTAACGGGTATCCTAATATGTTGATAAGTGCTCAGAGCGGCAAATGGAGAAACTTGCACTAAGAATAAAAACATTCCCCAGAAAAATACATCAACAAAGATTTAAAATCCCAAGGCCTAGACATAGGAAACAAATTTTCAGAATAGAAGAGTCTAAAAAGTTGCTTATATTTAAGGATTTTATTAAGACATAAAATATTTGTACCAAAAACCTATTGTATTTCATTTCTGCTAAAATTTTGGATGAAAAATCTGTGGTGGCAGACCCACCATCTTGAATCTTTGAAAAAGCAGTCTTCCAAGTTTAGAACCGCAGAAACTGTAACCCAATATAGCCACCTAGTGGTAGTGTTCCTAAACTGCAGGGAAAGGGGGAAATGAGAGAGCTAATTAAATTAGGAAAGCTTTAAAAATGATCAACAGCAGAAATGAGTGGATGGGCAGACGATGAGTCAAGTACTAAACATACTGAATTTGTGGAGATGGAATAAAGTGTAAAGAACATATTTGATAAACATAAGGAGACAAACATCAAGAGCACTGTTCCATTTAGTTGTATTTTAAAAYGATACAGAGATATTATTGGAAGACAACAAAGCAGTGAAGGAATACAAAGTTCTCCAACACAAAGATATGACAAGAATATGATTTCCTGACCTGACCTATTCTTACTCAGATTCTACAAAGACCAAGCCTCCAAAACTGCACCAGGAAGGACCAGGTTTAAGGAAACTTCTAATTCTATTTTTCCGTTTTATAAATATCTTGAAAAATAGACATTAAATAATTACGGGTCTCTAATGATTTACAACAGTTAACTCAAAGAATAAACAAGTTTTCTCTGTGAGAAACTCTGTGTTCAAAGTTGTTTCAAATATTAAACAAACTATTACTTTCAAAAATGCATTTCCCATTATTTTCAGTCGACATAATGATCATTCCCAAGTACTTATTATAAATATCACTAACCTGCTTCTTCAACTTTCTTCGGAAGAACTCGTACTTTCTTTTGTAATCCCTGGAGTAGGGCACTGCCTTTAGTTGAAATTTTTGGAAAAATAAAAAAGGTTTAGGTTGTTTTCATTCTGGAACAATTTTATAAGTTTCCCCTCTGAGTATTATGAACATAAGTTAAAGGCATTAAAAAAAGAATATCTGGAAATGAAGGTTTCATTTGAAGAAAAGAAATACAAAATTTAAAAAAAATTTAATTTCTCTGTTTAAGATAAAATTGTATTTAGCAATTCCTATGGCTGCAATTTTCATCAGGCAATATTCTTGAAATGTAACATGCCAGAAACAGAAAATTTCTTCCAAGTAGAGAAATATTAGAAACAAAAATTTCCATTTCTAAAAAGACTTTCAAAATGATTTCTCCATTGAAGGAACAATTTGAAAAATGTACTTTTCCCTTGAACTCCCAGCACTTGCCTTTTTAATCCATTATTTTAAAAGATTATACACTGAGACATTAAATAGTAACCTAAAAAAGTACAATATTTTCATTTTACTTATTTTTGTGAATCAAAAAACAAAATCTGAATAAAAAGTGAGTAAATGGAAAAAGTAGCTACACATAAGACAGGATAATGATTTGTCTATCATTAACCCAACTTGATAGAGATATAATTGTATTGTGGTAATATTTTTCATTTATTTATTTATTTTTGTGGTAATGGGAATTCCACCCAGAGGCACTCTACCACTAAGCTGCAACTCAGTCCCTTCTTATTTTGAGGCAGGGTCTCACTAAGTGGCCCCAGACTGGCCTTGATCCTCCAATCCTGCTGCCTCAGCCTCCTGAGTAGTTGGGATTCTAGCATGCACCACACCTGGCATATTATGGTAGTATTCATGCTTAAATATAAGTCTTTATATAGTGGGTATTTACAATGACTTTCATTAAAAAGTTCAAGATAGCCGGCATTGATAGGGTGCTGCTGCTCCTGACACACTCTTGGCTCTTCTCTGATTTGTTGAGGGCTGACTGTCAACACTCTTTTCAGACAAGGACAAGTACCAGCCTGAGCCTTTTGCCCAAGCTTTCTGTCTAGCTCACGAGTCTCACAAGGCTGATGTACAGGGCAAGGATACTGACTTTACACTATTTTTTTCAAATAACTGACACTGGAGTAGGGGCAGGAGGCGTAGGAGAGGATGGAAGATGTGCTCTYGTCTCAGTCCCTGTAGGGCTATGCCCTTGATCATTCACCCTTGCAAACAGAGGTGAGAGGATAACCCTATCAGAGCCCACTAGTACAACAGACTTACTGGTCCAGTTATTGCTACATTCTGCAACCGTGGATCTTCCCATTGTGTTCTTTTTATATCTGAAAKACAGGGGAAAAGGATGATTTCTCATGTACAAAGCTCAATATTAACAAAATATAATGTATTGATAAATTACATGGCACATACTATGATTTATGTAGAAGATTCTTCCATCTGTGTGAGTTCTCTCTTCCCATCCTGGCTATAATTAAAAACATATTTCAATTATTTTAGATGCATGGATAAAAAACAGCACTGGATATATGATTAATTTAATTTGCACATTTCATTCTTATAGTTGTTAAAGAACTATATTAAAAAATACAAAATATTTGAGATAGTATCAAGCAGACTGGCAGTAGTTCTATATACTTACAGGTAAAGGCCCTAGATCACTGGAAGAGTCAAGTGATGTCTTTCCTCTCAGATGAGCTGGAATTTTCAATCTTGGATCTTCCTTTTTTGGTTGAGTCATTAAATAAATAAAACAACATACACACAAATTTTAAAATAATGAAAGTTAATATGTTACAATGTTTTCTAATGTCAACAGATATTTAAAATATTATTTTTTAAAAGTCCATTTATATTTTATATTCTTAATCTGTGACAATAGTTTCTCCTTCTAAGATCTACCATTCTCAGGCAACACTCTTAAAAGAAATGAGATCAGTTCTCAGAGAGGGTTCTGGACTAACTGATCATCTCTTTCATACAGCTTTTCTTTACAAAATAAAAATGGTAAAATATTGGGACATTAAATTGTATCATGGTATTTCTATGCCTCTGAACATGCCTTCTGGAAACCGTCTGTTCAAGAACTGATTTACTAATATTTTTGAAAGATTGGAAGCATAAAAACATTATTCAGGTCAGGGCTGGGGTTGTAGCTCAGTGATAGAGTGTTTGCCTCACACAAAGCACAGGGTTTGATCCTCAACACCAAATAAAAAAAAATGAAAAATAAATAAAATAAAGGTATTGTGCCCATCTACAACTAAAATATTTTAAAAAATTATTAAAGTCAATTTAGGCAGGCAGAGTACATGCCTGTAATTTCAGTGACTTGGCAGGCTGAGGCAGGAGGATCACAAGTTTAAGGTCAGCCTTGGCAACTAAGCAAGATTTCTCACTGGGGATGTGGTTCAGTGGTAAAGTGCCACTGGGTTTGATCTCTAGTACCAAAAAACAAAAACAAAAACAAAAAACTTGATTCAGATTGTCAAAGAATTCAACTTATTTGAATTAATTCATGTATTTATTGAAGCTATGTTGGTCTTTTTAAAAGTTAATTAAAATTTATTCATCTATTGTTAATTTGGTACATTTTCTATTGGTGGTAAACTAATCACAAAAAACTTGTAATTTATCTTAAAATTAAAAATATTTGTTCTACATAGCTCATGAAGGTCTTTTTGGTATTAAATGAGATATAGATTCAAAAGTGCTTTGGAACTATAATGTACCATATAAAATCAAAAGTTTATTATTAAATAACTTCCTAAGCATTTATGGTTAGTGAGCTGAAAAGTGGAAACAGGAAATAAGTGTGAGTATCTCTATGAAAATCTAAGACAATACTAAAAAGAGGTATAGAACATGTTGAATAGAAATAATATTATTAAGAATTCAACATAGCCAGGTGCTGTGGCATACCTCTGTAATCCCACTGATTTGGGATGCTGAGGCAGGAGGATTACAAGTTCAAGGCCAGACCCAGTCTCAAAATAAAAAAGGCTTAGAATGGAGCTAAGTAGTAGAGCACTCCTGAGTTTAATCCCCAGTACCAAAAAATTAAAAAAAAAAAAAAGAATTCAATATATTTTTCAATGAATACTAGGAAAGGCAGGTTAACTAATTCACATTTAAAGATTAGAAAGAAGAGATTTGCATTGTTGTAAATTTAAACTTAAGAGTATTAAAATTACCCAAGTGGTGGTTTTGGTGTTGTGGTCAATAAAGAAAGGCCTCCCATTTGGTGCATGCCGGACCTCCCAGCCTTTAGGGAGGAAACCCTGCTCAATTTCAGATGGCTGGGTCGTTTGTTGTGCTGAATCACTCAAGGAGAGCTGTGCTTGAGGGCCTGCAGAAGGACTCTGGCTTGATGGCAGCTGACTGGTCTCCATTGTGGCCTAGCACATGAATGAAGGCATACTGTAAACTTTCATCAAGAAACCATAAATAGCTTACCTGCAGATAGAATGGTCGAGAAGGCAGCTTACCTGCAAACACCCACACTTTTAAATAGGCTCCAAACCTCTGAGCCTCATTTTCAAATGTAGTTATGGCACTTTATTGAAATGCAATAGATTCACACGATAGTCAATAATTAAAAGAAATATACCAGATCTATTTATAATAATGTGGTAGAGCTTTAAAATAATGTTGGGCAAAAGATTTAGACTTACACACCAAAGCATGCATTCAAAATTTGAAATACATTAACATAAATGATATTTTACATTGTTTAGCTCTTTATGTATACATAAAGTAGGATAGAAGAATATACAACCAACTAAGCATGGTAATTCCCTCTGGAGAATGGGATCAACAGTTTGGCTAAAAGAAGTTTAGCTTTATCTGTAAATAAATATATATACATACATATATAGTCTTTTTGTACCAAGGATTGAACCCAGGGGCACTTAATCACTGAGCCACATTCCTAGCCCTTTTTTATATTTTATTTAGAGACAGGGTCTTGCTGAGTTGCTTAAGCCCTCACTAAGTTGCTGAGGCTGCCTTTGAATTCATGATCTTCCTGTCTCAGCCTCCCGAGATGCTGGGATTACGGACGTAATCCACAGCTGGCAGCCTGTATGTTTAAAAACAAAACCTGATTAATGTGGAAACTTGTTAATTAATGGTGGTAAATTCTGTGTGTCAAGAATAAAGTATACATTATATCATTATCTGCATTTAAAGAAATTTCTCAATAAGAGTGTTAAGATAAAGTATTTTACTAAAAACTTATAAGTATTACAAAAAGAATCGCCTCTTGCCAATGATGAATTTTCACCATAAAACATTTCTTTAACAGATTCCAATCACCAAGATTATCTTCCAGCAAAGTAATAATCTTAACCATTCAAGTTACAAAACCATCCAATGGACCAGATCATTTATTTTGTCCTCTTAGTCCCATTTGGACTTGCTTTGCATAATAACAAGTGGTAATTCATGAATATTAGAGAACCACAGGAAATGGTAGATACTTAGCATCAGTGTCAGAAAATAAACAAGATGCTAGAAGTGCTCAGTATGCACTACAGAATGACGTAATCACTTACATAAAATGTGATGGTTCAAGTCCTGTAAGAAAATAAAGTGAACCGATGGGCTGCAGAGTACCTGTGTCGAGGGCTTCGTCCAGGTGGTGGTTCTGGAATTATGATCCACGTAATACGATCTTCCTCTTTCATCCTGCTTTTCCTCCCAACCTGGTGGTAATCCAGATGAAGTAGGCAAGAGCTGAAGTGCAGAACAACAAATGGGAGGATAAATGCTAACAAGAAAGACCCCTTAACAAGGCTACATCTCTCCTCTCTGCTAGCTCTCTAAAATGAACTATGCTGAACTAAAACCATTTGTTCCAATAGAAAATGGGCAAATAATACATTCTTAATTTAGTAAGATAAACATTGTTTTATTTATTTATTTTGTTATTCTGATTTGTTGTATATAACAGTGGAATGCATTACAATTCTTATTACACATATACAGCACAATTTTTTATCTCTCTTTTTGTATATAAAGTATGTTGACACCAATTTGTGTCTTCATACATGCACTTTGGATAATGACGTCCATCACATTCCACCATCGTTTCTAACCCCATGCCCCCTCCCTTCCCCTCCCACCCTTTTGCCCTATCTAGAGTTCATCTATTCCTCCCATGCTCCCTCTCCCTACCCCACTATGAAACAGCTTGATGCTGGTTGCTTTAATAAATCATAATAATAGCCATCACTTACCAGGTGGTTAGTATGTGCCAAATACTGTTAAAACACTTTATGAACTAGATTTCTTTTTAAAGCATGTTTGTTGCGATATAACTTAAATATGGTACAACTTGCCCTATTTAAGTTTTATAGTTATATGGATTTTGATAACACAAACATAAAAAATGACAACATATAAATATGGATATATAATACTACAGTGAAGATACAGAATATGTTACCTTGATCTCCTTTACTTCTTTTTTTTAATAGAGAAATTAATTTTAATATGTTTTCATTTAACCCAATGGATTACCAACATAATTTGCAAAGAAAATAATTGTTAGTAAGATAGTTCATGTTCATTTTTCTTTGTAATTCTTTGGAATCTAATGTCTATGTAACACACAGCAACACCTCAATTTAGACTAGACACATTTCAAATACTCAGTAGCCTCATGTAACCAATGGCTGCCATATTGGCTCCTTTCTTCACCTTTCACCTTTTGGTGAGATATATGCTGTAGGCTGCATGGTAAGTCCCCTGGTTATGTGATTTCTTGTTTAAGATAAACCTATTTTAAATCATATTTTAAAGTATACAAAATAAAGTATACAGAATTTCATTGGGGGAACTCCCAAATAGACAATAATGATGAGAGTGGGAAAACTCTAATAAAATGTATCAACACTAAAAACCACATACTAAGTGCTTTAATGTAGACCATGACATTTAGCCTACATACAAACCCCTCTCATAGGTGCTGGGGATCTATCTCAAGGCCTTGCACTGCTAGGCAAATGTTCTATCACTGAGCCACACTCAACCCTGAGAAACAAGTCTTAATGAGATAATGGTTAATATTGGCCCATTTTGCTGATGAGTAACCGGAAGGTTAAAAACCTGAAGTAATTTGCTAAGACACATTGCTTGTAAGAAATGGAGCAGGGATTTGAACCCAGGTAGTTCAACTATAGAAATCACACTCKGGTGCTGAGTGAAAAGTCATCTTTCTTGTTTCTCCAAAGGCTGGGAGAAGCTATTTATTATAGTTTGTTACAAATGAATAAAGAGGAGTCAGGTTATTTCTAGGTTTACTTTAAATAGTCCTAGGTCTGGCCTTCCCTTTGTCATTTTGAAACCAGGTTGACTGTTTGAGGCCTGGGTTGGCTCCTGAAAGCACCTTAGAATGTATATGTCATCCCCACCAGTCTTCACTAGATAACGCAGTTTCCTAGACACACAGGAGCTCTAAGTAGTCTCTGACAGTAATAATGAACTGTTAGACCACAAAATTATGGAAGCTGCAGTTTAACAAATGTCCATCAACTGGTGAGTAGATAAAGGAAGTAGGTCTATCTACACAATGAAGTAACAATGAACTACTGTGACATGCAATCAGATTTGAAAAATATCATGTCAAGTGAAAGATGTCAAACACCCAAGACTACATAATAAAACTACATACTGTATGATTCCCTTTATATGAAATTTCTAGAAAAGGCAAAATTGTAGCAACAGAGAGCTGAAGAGTGGTGGTTCAGAGCTGGGAGTAGGCCCAAGAATGGAGGCAGCTTCATGGAGTGAGGGAAGGGTTCCTAAACTTGAGCATGGTAAAGTTTGCATGATGGTATGAATTTATAAGACCTCATTTAATTACACACTTAGAAGTGGGTGGATTGGATGGCATGTAAATTATACCTTAAGAAGGGCTGGAGATATAACTCAGTTGGTAGAGCATTTGGCCCTGAGTTTGATGCCCAGCACTGTTCCCCCCACCAAACAAACAAACAAACAAAAAAACCAAGTTGTAATAGGTCTTTTGATACATAAATCACTTCAAGATTCCCTTGCTCATCTGATGTGCTTATTTTTTGGATGAATACCTGTCAATGAGAAATTCAATATTTTCACTGTATGGAGGATAAGGTGTATGGGAGAAATACCATGGAGGAGCAGGCTCTGGTCTAGTGGAGGAGGCAGACAGGTGACCACAGAGGGTGAAGCTGGTGAGGGGAATCTCTTGGGGGCATCCACCCCTTTTATGGTCAATGTTGAGCATGTTAGTGTCCACCCTTCCTCAGCCCAGGATCTGTGGCCCTCTCCTCATGCAGGATCATCTTTTAGATGAACCATTCTTGAGTGGTTGAGAATTTGGGGGCCTCTGCACAAGAGCAAAAACCCTACTTTTCAGCTGGGCGCAGTGGTGCACACCTGTAATCCCAGCAGCTCAGCACAGGCTGATACTGGAGGATCGAGAGTTCAAAGCCAGCATCAGCAATGGTGAGGCACTAAACAATTCAGCAAGGCCCTGTCTCTAAATAAAATACAAAACAGGGCTGGGGATGTAGCTTAGTGTTTGAGTGCCCTTGCATTCAATCCCTGGTACCCCTCTAACAAAAAAAGCCCACTTTTCAAAATTAATATATCGGTTTCCACCTAAAACTACAAATGGTTGGTGGGAAAAAGTGAGAAGGCCATTCCAAGGGGAGAAATGAAATGAGCACAGTTAGGAGAGGGAGAGAACCAGGACTTGGAAATAGCCTGTTTGGAAACAAAGCACAGATAGCAGTGAAGGCTGCGGGAGCATTTGTAGGTAGACAAGGAGAAGGGAGGCTGGGGAGGCTGAAGAGGCTGGGAGCCCCCATGTTTAAAAAAACAAGTGGCGGGCTGGGGATGTGGCTCAAGTGGTAGCGCGCTCACCTGGCAAGCACGGGGCTCTGGGTTCGATCCTCAGCACCACATACAAATAAAATAAAGATGTTGTGTCCACCGAAAACTAAAAAATAAATATTTAAAAAAAAAACAAGTAGCAGGGGAGGGTAGGGGCTGGAGTTACGGCTYAGTGGTAGAGCACTTGCCTAGCATGTGTGAGGCCCTGGGTTCGATTCTCAGCTCCATATATAAATAAATAAAATAAAGGTCCATCATCATCATCAATAACAACAACAACAACAACAAACAATCAAAAACCAAGTGGGGGGGTATACAAGGGAGAGAAACTCAGTATGAGACTTGGGTCAGGAACAGTATGGCGACAGGGAGACCAAAAGAGAATTCATAGTTCAGGCATGAAGTTCTTGAGGTCCAAATTACAGTAGAGGCAGGGCTGGGAATACCTCTGAGGAGGCAGAAGGCCTCCACAGAATGCTGGACTGAGGCTTCAGGGAAGAGAGGGACCAGGGACTGTCAAACTCCAATCTGACCATTGAGCCTAATGACACGAGTGGATTGCTGACTTGATGCTTCATGCGCACTGGGCAGAAATAGTTGCTAGATGTCGGGAGTCTACAAAGCTGGATGTCATGTGCCATGTGCAGAGCAGAGGTAACTGGACACCAGAATCCCGAATCGTGTGTACATGCAGCAGACCTCCTATCACCAGCACAGGACTCCAACTGACAAGCCATCTCCCAACAGCAGTCACCAGCATGGGGACTCTGCTATGTAAATATGGGAGAGACAGTTCTTGGGTTGTCTTTAAAGGTCCAACCTTGTGTCTCTCTCCCAAACCTCATTCCCTAGAGCCCATGCTGTACGGGTTCCCTGCTAAAGAGTCAAACATTCATGCTCAGTGTTCCAATAAAAAAAAGGTGCTAAGTTTTATATTTTTATTGATGATTGAGGAAAGAGGATAAAACTCACCACAGGAAGTGTAGGCTGTTCCTCAAAAGTATAGGCTTGTAAGCTGCCTCTTCTGCTGGAATGATTCTTGTTAAAACAAGCAAACAGAATAATAATACCTTTAGATTTGTCTTTAATGGCAGATAAAGTAGGGAGGGTGAGCAGGACTGGGCAGAGAGAACGCTGGCTGTTGAGATGAGGGTGAAGGTCCATGTCTCCTATTCCCATCTCCCTCTTCTCCCCTAGGGCTGGATACCCTCCTTGGTACCTGCTCTTGAATGTCTGACCCCTTCAGCATGTCCACAACTGGACTTGGATTTTTCCCCTCTGTGCCCACTCCAACCTGTTTCTTCTCTCATATTCCTCATTTCAGTTGCAGTCCCTAGATCCTATCCAGTTTCTTTCTCATTAGTTCTCAAACACTTTCTCTTTGTTATAATTGAGAAAGAGAAAAGTAGCCCCTGACATCTAAGGCCTGGCCTGGCACTCACAGGCAGGATCCTGAGTGTGTTCAGGTAACTCTTTAATTATGTCTGAATGCAGACAAAATGTGCATATTGTCCAAGCCACAAAACACTAAAGATCTCCCCATCCCTGCTAAAATGAGTGACAACTCTTCTTTGCCAACCACTACTTTAGCCTCACTACAGATAAGATTTGGGATACACAAAGACTTTCCCCTGCTCCCTGACCACATCCAAAGGAGAGCAAAACCCTCTTCAAAATCACCTAACATGAGCCTGAATCCTTTAACTCTTTCAAACGTCCTCTTACCAAGACACCAATGGAGTGTGTTCTTTCTTGTTGAGATAAATAATAAACCTAACTTGTTCGAATAAAATATGCTCCAGGTGGTTTCTGGAGGGCACTTATTTAATAGACATTAAGATTCAGTGACCATGTGGATTGCCCATGACTTTGCTCTATACTGTTAGTGGGGATATTTGAAAAAACAACCATGTGGTAAAGTCCCAAGTCCCCTAAAACATTATTCCATGCCACTTCAGACAAAATTTTACATAAAAGTTGTTGAATGGAAGAATATTTATAAAATAAAATCCTGAGGCCATAACAGAATCAAAGAGCATCTTACTGAGCAGGACGCTGTTGGGCTGGTGGCTGAATTTGCACAAAYAGTGAGTCTGGTGTTCAATCCTTCTGCAAGGTGAGTCTGAACATCCACGTTGCTTGCTAATGGAGGTGCTGGGAAGGCCTGACTGCTGTATGTGGCAGCTTCGTCTTCTCTTATAATTTCCCAGTTCTAAAATGAACAGAATCAGCTTGAGCCATACATACTTTATTTTTATTTTTTAAAATATTTATTTATTTTTAGTTTTTGGCGGACACAACATCTTTGTTTGTATGTGGTGCTATGGATCGAACCCGGGCCGCACGCATGCCAGGCGAGCGCTACTGCTTGAGCCACATCCCCAGCCTTTGAGCCATACATACTTTAATCTACTGCTATGACATGTGCCCATCAGTGAGAACAAGAGAACTATACCTCGGAAGAATCCCGGTTGTCAGCACTCTCCGTTTCTTCGGAGATCTGCCTCCTGGTGGTAAAGGCACGCTGTGCTTGCAGTTGAATGTTACCATTCTCAGCATCTGTGAGGTCATCCCTGTATTGGAAGTGGAAAAAGCCATTACTTGTGTCTTAAGATAATTAAAATGACAGCCAAAGATCCTATGATCATTTAAACACTTACAGTAGATCAGAATTTACTGGTTTTATCCAAAKGCTATTTCAACATGTACAAATTGTGGGCACACTTACACCTTCAGAGTACCTTATAGAGTTAAAAGTTTTTGTGGGGATGGGGTTGGGGCTTAGTGGTAGAGCACTTGCCTAGCATGCGTGAGGCACTGGGTTCGATTCTCAGCACCACATACAAATAAATAAATGAAAATAAAGGTCCACCAACAACTAGGAAAAAAAAAAACTTGTGAAAATGTGTAATAACTGATATTTTAGTTTAGACCTAGGAGAATGTCTGACATTCAGGCACTCAAAAAAATTTGTAGAATGCATATCAGAGAATTTTATAATTTCATAATGTTATTATTTTCCCATATTATTACATGAGTATATCTAAAATAACTCTACAGTTACATATACATCTTCATGAAACAAACACTTCATTTGATAAAATTGGTCTTAGGAACAGAGTTCCCCATGCACAAATGTACACGGCAGAATGAAAGACAATGAAAGGACTTTATAATTCAATGCTTAATAAATTAGGGATTAAATAGTATCTATTTTTTTTTATCATACATAGACATAGGCCTGGTCTGAAAAACGACAATAGTAAAGGCTTATCTGAGTTTAGTAAAGGTATAATCTTAGTCATTTATATTAGTCCAGTTATTTGCATGTAATATAACCAGACTATCAGGTCAAGAATTTTGTGCCATGTGCAGTTGTACCTATCCATTAATCCCAGCTACTTGGGAGGCAGGAGGATCACAAGTTTGCGTCTGGCTTGTGAAACTTGGTGAGACCTTGTCTCAAAATAAAAAGTAAAAAGGACCAGAGGGCTGGGGTTGTAGCTCAGTTATAGAGCTCTTGCCTAGCATGTGTGAGGCACTGGGTTCAATTCTCAGCACCATATATAAATAAATAAAATAAAGGTTTATTGACAACTAAAAAATATATTTTAAAAAATGTTAAAAAAAAAAAAGCCAGGTGTGGTGTCGCATGCCTGTAACCCCGAGGGCTTAGGAGGCTAACGCAGGAGGATTGTGAGTTCAAAGCCAGCCTCAGCAAGGGTGAGGTGCTAAGCAATTCAGTGAGATCCTGTTTTTAAATAAAATACAAAATAAGGCTGGGGATGTGGCTCAGTGGCCAAATGCCCTTGAATTCAATCCCTGATAGCCCCAAAAAGAAATAAATAAAAAGGGCTAGGGGTGTAGCTCAGCGGTAGAGTACCCCTGATTTAGATCCCCAGTACCAAGAAAAGAAAAAAGAAAAAAATTGTTCAAATATTTAATAACAAAATTATTATAAATTTATTTAATGTCTTATAAGCCAAGGACAGTAAGAAGACAAGTTATTTTTTATTGGTTCCTAATATACATAATGTTAGGATTCATTTTGATATAATTATATAAGCATGAAATACAATTTGCTCCAATTTAATCCCCAGTACTTACCCTGACCCTCCCGCTTCTCCCTCTCCCTGTTCCCTTTCCCCTACTCTATTGATCTATTTATTTATATTTTAAAAAAATCAGTGTACATAATGGTAAGATATACATAATGGTGAATTTCACTGTAATATATTCATATGTGTATTTTGGAAAGTTAGTTCAAGTTCAGTCCACTGTTTTTCTTTTATCCTGTCATCCTTCCTCCCTCCTCCTCAATCCCCTTTCTCTATTCCCCTGATCTTTCTTTTTTTGATGGAATTACAGCTCCCCTCTAGCCCCTGTCCCCCCTACCCCCATTTTAGACTAGTTTCTGCATATAAGAGAAAACACTTGACCTTTGACTTTTGGGGTCTGGCTTATTTCACTTAGCATCAGAGTCTCCAGTTCTGTCCATTTACCAGCAAATGACATAATTTCATTATTCTTTATGGATTTATATTCCATTGTGTATATATGCCACATTTTCTTTATCCATTCACCCACTGAAGGTTGGTTCCATAGTCTGGCTATTGTGAATTGTGTTACTATAAATGTTGATGTAGCTGCATCATGGTAGTAGGCTGATTTTAGATCTTTTGGATATACACCAAGGAGTGGGTGAACTGGGTATATGGTGGTTTCATTCCTAGTTTTCTGAGGAATCTCCATATTGCCTTAAAAAATCAATAAGTGGGATTGCATCAAATTAAAAAGCTTCTGCACGGCAAAGGAAACAAGTGCATGAAGAAAGAGTCTATAGAATGGGATAAAGTCTTTGCCACCTGCTTCTCAGGGAATTCATATCTAGAATATATAAAGAACTCAAAAAATTTAATACCCTCAAAACAAATAATCCAATTAATAAATGGGCAAAAGAACTAACAGTCACTTCTCATGAGTACAAACACAAATGGCCAATAAATATATTTAAAAATGTCCAACATCTCTAGCAATTAGGGAAATGCAAATCAAAACCACACTGAGATTTCACGTCACTTCAGTCAGAATGGCAATTACCAAGAATACAAATAAATAATAAGTGTTGGTGAGGAGATGGGAAAAAAAGATACACTTATACATTGTTGGTGGGACTGCAAATTACTGCAACCACTCTGGAAGGCAGTTGCAGAATTTCTAGTCTAATTCCTAGATCTTTAATCCACTTTTGTGCAGGGTGAGATATAGGGTACAGCTTCATTCTTCTACATAAGAATATTCAGTTTTCCTAGCACCATTTGTTAAAAAGACTATCTTTTCTCCAATGTATGTTTTTGCCACCTTTTTCTAGTATCAGATTACTATATTTATGTGGGTTTGTCTCTGTGTCTTCTATTCCATAGGTCTTTGTGCACATTTTGGTGCCAGTACCTTGATGTTTTGGTTACTATAGATCTGTATTATAATTTCAGGTCTGGTATTGTGATGCCTCCAGCATCGCTTTTTTAAAAAATTTTAATTGTAAATGGACATAATGCCTTTATTTTATTTATTTTTATGTGGTGCTAAGGATTGAACCCAGTGCCCCACACATGCCACTTAGCTACAACCCCAGTCCCAGCATTGCTCTTTTTGCTTGGGATTACTTTGGCTATTCTAGGTCTCTTATTTTTCCAAATGAATTTCAGTACTGCTTTTTATAGTTCTGTCATTAGTATTCTTATGGAGATTGCATTGAATCTGTATATTGCTTTTGGTAGTATGGCCATTTTAACAATGTAATTCTTCTTATCCAAGAACATCAGGGTATTTCCATCTTCTTAGGTCTTCTTCAATTTCTTTAGTGTTGTACAGTTTTCATTGTACAGATTCTTCAATCCCAACAAGATTAATTACCATTGTTTTGAGGTTATTATGAATGAGATAGTTTTTCTTATTTCTTTTTCAGCAGATTTATTATTGGAGTATAAGAACACAATTGATTTATGTATGTTGATATTGTATCCTGTTACTTTACTAAATTGTTTATCACCCCTAGAAGTCTTCTGGTGAGGTTTTCTTGGATCCTCTAAATACAGGATCATGTCATCAGCAAACAGAGATAATTTGACCTCTTCTTTTCCTATTTGTATTCTTTCCATTTCCTTCAAGAAGACATGTTATTTTWAAAAAAATATTATTTAAAAAATTTACATATGTAATAATTGTACACACTATATTTTGGTGGTGACATGTAGTGTTTTGATAAATACATACATTGTGTATAATCAAAGCATAGAATTTAGCATATTCATCACCTCATACATTTATCATTCTTTGTAGTGAGAACATTCAAAATCTCCTCTTCTAGATTATTTGAAATATTCTATACAATACTGTTCGTCCCAATCATCCTATGTGCAGAACATTCAAACTCATTCTTTCTATGTTAATGGTACTTTGTACCTATTAACCATTCTTTCCCTAACCCTCCCAACCTCTAGAAGATCAGTTCTTACTCTACTGTAGCTGATAAAAAACATAAGTCTGACAGATGGCTCTAAGAGAATGTTTCAGATTTCTTTCCCATGTTAGATTTTTTTCTAGCTGAAATGACATCAGTCATAGTGAAAGAAATGCGTTTTTGCTCTAGTTGGGCTTGCCATAATACTGAGACATGGAATAAGGCAATTTTGTGAAATTTTCTAGTATCTTTGGTTTTGCAATCTGTATGTCATTTCAGAGATATTGACACCTCTGTGCAATGAATAACTTGGATTACTGATTTACTTTGGAAAGATTTGAGAACAGAAAATATCTATGATAGTGCTTGGGATATATCAAATACAAAATATGAGAATCGAAATTTAGGAGGTTAATGGACAAATAAAAATTTTAAGAATGTGTCAAATAGTAAAAGACTGATGAAAGTCATAATAAGGCGGTATGCAAAGAGAAGTAGAAGGGGATTTGGTAATAAATATTAAGGTTGAGAAGATCTGGAAATGTATACACAATGTGATGATAAACAAAAATGTCACTTTGGAGACATGCATTAGGATATGTCAAAGGTCATTCTGTCCTTGGTCTGTGTTCAGTGGAAGATGTGTATACAATGATCAGACTGGAAGATAAGGTCAATAATAAGACCTTAATTATTGAGTCCTTTATATTGTATAAATCACTTATTTTTTTAAAAAAGGGTACTACAGGGGCTGGAGCTGGAGCTCAGTGATAGAGCACCTGCCTTGCATGTGTGAGGCACTGGGTTCAATCCTCAGCACCACATAAAAACAAACGAAATAGGGGTATTGTGTCCAACTACAACTATAAATAAATAAATAAACATTCTTTAAAAAAAAAAAGGACTACAGAAAATAACATTTTATTATATTTTAATAACAAACCACAAAATGTTTCCAAGATATTTTAAATCAGTCTCAAAAGATCCTTTGTTGCTATATAATAATTAAAAATTTATTATAATTAAAGCTATTGAAATGGTAGTATTTATGATTTAAATAATTCTAAATATTATAAAATCATATATATATGTATATACATATATATATATTTTTAGTTATCAATGGATCTTTTATTTTATTTATATGTGGTGTTGTGGATAAAACTCTGGGCCTCCCTCATGCCAGGCAAGCACTCTACCATGGAGCCACTACTCCAGCCCTCAAATCTTTTTCTTTTTTTTTTTTAAATAGCTGAGAAAGCATTTTTTTAAACCCCTGGGCCATAAAAATCCTAGTCTTCTTCCAGTTTATGGATCCCTAAACCACCATGAATCCATTCAAGACATAACTTCAAAATGAAAGTGGTTAAAATGTATCCAGATTACACATGTGAAAGCCTCTGCACATACTGAGGGGTTGGTCTTTTCCACTGTGTTCTTCTAGATTCATGGTTTACATAGTAGGTCCTTCCAAGGACATCCTGCCTCTCTTCCCATCCTGGAGGTAGAGGAGAAGGTTCTTGTTGCTGCTGCAAGTGGCAAGCAGCATCTGGTTGGTCCAAAACAACCCAGCCAGGCTGAAAAACAGAGTGGAAACAATTAGGTGTGTCTGCTCCATTTTTCTAACTTTATCAATTATATGCCAGAGGAAATTTTAAGAGAGTTAGTGTATTCAATTTCAGAAATTATACTACATAAATGGAATTAGCACATCCTTAACTTTTAAGACCATAATATGAATATTTTATAATAATAATAATAAAGACTTTCTCTGCAAAATAACCACTTCAATTGTTTGAAAATGTTTAAAAAAATTTTCAAAAAAGTTTAAAAACATATCTAATAGAATAAAAGGACAAAACACACCCTTTTAAATAAATAAACACTGATGTAACATTGGAAAGCACTGAGAAACTGAGAAGCATAGTTTAAACTAGTGCAATCTTAGGCTACTCTCTAAATCATAAGCAACTAAATGAAGGTCAGGAAGTGTGGTGCTGGTCATGGTCTCTCCCACAGGGAAAGCACCTTGCTTACAATGGAAATCAATATCCAAGACATGAAAAAATCATTAGATAAAGGTCAAATATATACAGACATGATAGAGAAGGGTGAATGCTTGAGAAATAACTGCTACAGTGAACTGTGTATGGATTGAAAAGTCATTCTGATTCTCGTCTGATTTTTCTGTTTTTCTTTTGGACCAGGAAAAGGGTTTTGGTCAGGTCATAAAGCAGTTAAAGAAAATTAAGTTAAAAAAAAAAACAAACCTTGGAAATATGTTCACTCTGAGACTTGCAAGAGACAAAATACATACAAAGCCTTAAATAGGGTATAAAAGTAAAGGGTTCATTAAAAAGAGTTATAAGAGCTAATGACAAGTTTTCATATGAAAAACCTCATAACACAAAAGGCAGCACATAAAGGTTTATTAAACACCAATGTGGTTAGGAAAGCATTTAAGATTGAAAAAAGAAAACAAGTAAAGAAACTTTAAAATGCTCCTAAAAGGACTCAAAAGACCTAAATGAATGAAAAGACATAGTTAATCTGTAAGTTTGCCAAAATTCTGGTAAAACTACATTACATATTAAAAAAAATAACAAGACAACCAATTCACAAATTCAAATAGAAACATGAACAAGGAAGAATAACCAGCATCATTCTGAAAAAGAAAAGCAGTGAGTGGAGATGAACCCTGCTAGGGAAAATGTTATGCACTATAAGGGCTRTGTGGTACTGGTGTGTGCAGATGGCTCAAGAGAATGGATTAGAAAGCCTGGAAAGAAACCCAAACTTATAAGAACTTAGCATATGACAAAGACATTACAAATCTGTGAGAAAATAGGCAGGCTGCTTTGAAAATGGGTACTTATTTGAATAAAAAACCTAATTTGGATCCATACTTCACACCTTAATGAGGTTAAGTTACAGAGTAGCTGGGCATGATGGTGTGTACCTGCAGCCCCAAGCACTCAGGAGGCTGGGTAGTAGGACTGCTTGAGTCCAGGAGTTTGCTTGGGCAACACAGCAAGGTGAATGAAATGAAATGAAATTTCTTGAGTCTTGCTATGTTGCCCAGGCTGGCCTTGAACTCCTTAAATGATCCTCCTGCCTAGGCCTCCTGAGCAGTTGTGACTACAGGTGTGCACCAGCCCAGCTCAGATGGAGTAATATGTTAGACATGACATCAAACCAAGAAGGAATAAAAAGAGATTATCTATAAATTTGGCTATAAAACCCCTAAAGATGTACATGGCAAAAMAAAACAAAACAAAAAAAAAACTACCAAATCAAGGTAAAAATAAATACAAATCAGAAAACATTTTAGTACTAAGGTAATAGTCAAAGAATAAGTTCTTTAACATATGCACAGTTTATGTTGTAGGCACTGGAGATCCAGTTTTTCACAGTGGTGAAAAATTGTTGTGTGCTAGGCAGATGAGGGCTTAGAAGCAGGGAGAGAATTTTTCTACCTTGGAAGACTGAACCTGAAAAGGAGGTCAAGGAGAAGAGCTGGGAAGGAAAGGAATAATTTTTGGCAGCAGGAAGAAAAAGGGGTTTCTACAGGATGGTTGATCTACTGTCTACTGGGTGGGAGGATTATGGACTGAGGGGTAAGGAGAGAAGACAGAAAGAATAATTTTGGGAAAAGGAATCTGGTTGGAAAACAAAATTTACTCAGTTTCTTTCTCTTTTCTATTTAATTTTTTATTTTATTTCTTCTCTGGGAACTGATAAGTCTTTAGTTTTTTTTCTTTTTGTTGCCCAAATTCTATTTTCTTTCTCCCCTCCAAACTCTTACTTTGTCATTTCATCTGTATTTATCTTCCTTTTCACTCTCTTTTCCCTTACATGATGAGGATATAGGATATATTAGTCTTGTGAATACAGAATTCTATTTTAATACTCTGGTCTTCATTTCAAAGATACGTGAGCTGTTAGGCACAGTGGTGCATGACTATAATCCCAGCAATTAGGAAAGTTGAGGCAGAGGGTCACAAGTTGCAGGAAAGCCTCAGAAACTTAGCAAGATCCTAAGAAACTTAATGAGACCCTGTCTCAAAAGCAAACAAACAAACAACAACAACAACAAATGATCTACACTGGGTGGTGCATGCCTGTAATCCCAGCAATTTGGGAGATTTGCGGTAAGAGGATTGCAAGTTCAAAGCCAGCCTCAGCAAAAGTGAGGTGGTAAGCAACCCAGTGAGACCCTGTCTCTAAACAAAATACAAAATAGGGCTGGGGAATTCAGGGGCTCTCAACCACTGAGCCACATTCCTGGTACCATCCCCCCCCCCCAAAAAAAAAAGTGTAGGGATGTGGCCCAGTGGCAAAGCATCCCAGGATTCAATACCCAGTTTAAACAAAACAAAACAAAAAGGCATGTGAGTTGTATTATATTTCATTCTTCTGAAAGAAAGGTTATCAAGATTTTTTTGTTGAATGTAGTCAATTATTAACTTTCCTTTAAGATTACATTTATTAATAAAAGGGATCTTACTACTGCTGAAAATAATCATAAAAACATTCAAAATTAGGAAAACAATACCAAAAGAATATTTCTTTAAAAGCTGTGATTTCTTTGTTTCAATACACACACACATGTGCATGCACGTACACAGCTAAGATTTCTCAGATCTACTTTATATTATAGTAAATTCAAGAAGAAAATGAAAAAAAATTGAGTAGGGCCTTTAAAAAATCTATTTCAAGTTTGAGGAAGTATAGTTGTACATTCAAATACCATTTACAATGACTGAGATTTTATTTTCTAGATAGAATGCCTCTCTATTAAACATGTATTATCATCTATTCTCCATAAACTAATTTTCTAAGAATCAATGAACTTTACTTAATTAGTAGCCTCAAGGCTATATGCAATTGCCTAAAATTTAGCAGAGTCAAAGCGGGTCAAAAAAAAAGCATTCAGAGACAGACAAAAGTTCTACATCAATCTTCTTAAAATATAAGTAACTCTTAAATTGCACAAAGAGTACAAATCAAATGTTAATTACCCGTTACACTCATGCTTTACTAAGGATTACAAACTGCCTTAAGAGAGAGCCACTTTTCAAAATTTCAATTGTTGTCTTCAAATAGTAGAATTTCATATATCCAGTCACAAACTAGATTTCAAAGAACTAGGCAAGACTTCTCTGGACACTAGCTACACAGAAGATAAATAAGCACAGATTCATGTGTTTGAATTCCTAGGGGTTTTCATAAATAAACTACATGCTCACACCTCCTGAATTACAAGGTGCCTTCTGAGGGAATTCAAACACTGAGACATGAGACCACAAGATGAAACAGAACAGAACTGTGAACAGGGTACCTATATGATATGTGTGTGTGGCCAAAACTTGGAATAGGTTACTAAATAATGAAATGTTATTAATCTTTTTAAGTTACTAAATAATTTTCTTTCTTTACAGCAGACATCCTCTATTTCAAACAGAATTCCATCATGCAAGATGCCCTGGGTACCCAAATGGCAGGTAGACAAATGTCTAACCAACAAATACCTTGAAAACTTTAAAAATAATTATTCTATGAAAAATCAGAGAAAAATGGGAAAAATATATCAAATAAATGAATATAGACTTGAGAAAATAACAAATTTTTTGATCACCAAACTAGGGATTTGATTTATGATGTAAAGAAAAAAATTTCTCTCCTTCTATAATTATACATTCCCCCTGAAAAGCAAATCTCATGACTGCATTCAAAATATTCCCAGAAAACGTTATTGCAAATTCATTGCCTACTCAAGAGCACATCAGGTAGAGCCCAGCCCTTGGGGAGGCCCCTCTGCTTCACAGTTCTTACAGAGACCAAAGCAGAACCTCATACAAAGAGGTGACGACTGAGGAAGGAAAAAGAAACTTCTGAAGCAATTTACCATGTGTTTTCTGTATATGTTGAATGAATGATGTCACCTTTTGATGGATTGTGCCTTTCAAATGGACCTCAAGGAGCAGGTGTTTTTTGGTCCTCTTTTCAAATCATGAATTTTTCTACTGAAAGAAACTCTAGGGGTTAGCTGATATAACTCTGTGAATGAGGAACCCAAGAGTCAGAGAAGGTCAGCTCCTCATAGGATCATGAGGCTGATTAGTGGCAGAGCTTGCCACTGGGGTTCCCGTCTCCAAATCCCCTTCTGTTCCAAATACATATTCTGCATCTCTTCATTAGCCCCAGAGGCATGTAGCTCTATCCACATTCTTGACTTGGACTTTCTTTTCATCCATGAAAACAGTTAAATTCCACTTGCCTCAAATAAACATACCTTTTTATTATGTCGCTGATTTCTCCCCTGACTCTATTTCCCGCATGATGTCCCCCACCATAATAAGAAAAGTAACAGAATTACATGTCTTTCATAAGAGAGTTCCTTATTAGCTAAGAGTCTTTCCAAAATGTGCATATGTTTAACTTACAAATACTAAATTATGTTCTTAAAGGAGAATATGTCATGGTTTTAGAAAACTGAAAAACTAGAAAGTTCGTGACAGTTACAGTAAATGTTTTTCATTTATAAACATTGTATTCTCTACTCCCTAACCTTTAAGAAGACTATTGATAATAGCCATTCATTCTACTGAAGTATCCTTAGAAGAAATAAATTGTTAATGAATGCTTAGGTGAAATAAATAATCCAGATAAATAAAAAAAATGGTAATTGCACACATTAATTTCATTGAATAAATTATTTTTCTTTAGGGTATATTAAAATAAGAAATCAGATATATTTATATGTATTTAGTTTAACCAAATATTTATAAAATCTCACCTCTAATTCCTCAGCCTGTTCTGCATTATCTTCTTCTGAGCCACTGGTTTTAGGTAGATAAGTCATTTTTAATCTCAGATAACCTTTAACTCTTGACTTGGGACTGTAGAAAAGAAAAGAAGTATTCACAAAACTTCAACACTAAGGAAAAAAGCATTCATTTAATGAATCTATTGAATACCTACTGGCTTTTAGGGGATTTACCAGAGGATATTCAAAGGCACGTTCTAATGCAGGAGATATCTAGGAAAGGAAGAGATGGTGGAAAAAAGGAAACACACAAACGAATAACTGTTATGTTATAAAAGATGCTAAGGAGGTTTCAGTGGAAGAGTAGAGAGAAGTTCAAAGTGAAATTGGTGAAATTGGCATTTCAGTTGAGGCTGAAAGATTGGGAAGAATATATAAAATATATATATATTAGGGATTGAACCCAGGGACACTTAAAACCACCAGGCCACATCCCCAGGAATTTAAAAAAATATTTTATTAGAGACAGGGTCTTAAAAGAACCTGTAGAGTAAAAYTGTATTGAGTAATTGAGTTAATAAAGCATTGAAAGGGGTGGGGGAAGAGAGACAGGGTCTTGCTGAGTTGCTTGGGGCTTTGCTAAATTGCTGAGTGCGAAGGATTTTGATTTGGGGCAGTGGAGGCAATGGCCTCTGGAATGGAGAGGAGGATCAAGAACCAGGAAATAGATGGGAAACCTGGGCTAAAATTCAGGAAAAGGCAGTAACTGAACTTGGCTGGATTACAGGATACAAAAAGAGTGTGGGAGGCAGGAATGGTTCAGATGATAAGGTCATGCAATATAAGAGAACTTTAGGCTTTATTTTGCACATATTGGGAAGTTTTGAATGTGAGACTTAACACTATCTAGTTTCACAATTCCAGTATGCTAAGATTTACTTAAGAAAACCTTGTCAATCCTTGCTCTCTATACTATACAGTTATACACACACACACACACACACACACACACACACACACACACACACATATATATATATACTTGGTGATTTTCACAGGTATCAGTTATGTAACAAATTATCCTGTTTTTCTAGATAAGAGTCCAAATTCTTTATTCCATCTTTGAGAGATTATATACCCTCTCCCTCCAGTCCTGTGTCTCTCCTAATCTTTTTAGTTGTTCTCTGAACACTTCTCATGGATTTGGTAAATTAAGTGTTCTTCTCTGAAGTGATCAGTAAAATTTCTTACTCTTCTTCCCAAGGCCACGAACATGGCTTGTGCATTTACAGTTAAAGGGGGTGTGGACACTCTGACTTGCTGCTATAAATGATGGATACAGAAAATGTACTTAGACAATGTTTTGTTGAAAAACTTCTCTATAATTGTGCTTCATGTGTTTCCAACCAAAAAATAAAACCAAACCATGGATTTGACTTACCAAACAAATGATAAGGACTCAAACAAATGTAGGACATTTTCTATTTGAATAAATTTCTTCTGGGCTTGCAATCATATCCAATATATACAGAAGATATGATTTTGTTTAAAGAAAAAAATACTAAAAAACATCTGACACATTGAAAAGTAGGCAACTAGGGCAATCAAACAAGAAGAACTTTCAAATAAGTTACAACTGGTCCCAAAATTAGAGGAAGAAATTTATATTCTATACTTCTATAGAAATTAAATATGTGACTTACAGAGTAAAAATCAGCAGTATTAGAGCACTCTCTCTTATTTTAATATTTATATTATGAAAAGTAATTTAACCATTTCAAATGCAAACTTTTACTATGTTTCAATAAAGCATTTTTTCAAATGCATTTTCTAGTTTAAAAAACAAGCTAAATACTGTTGTTTTCACAGATGTCCTTTATCTGGTATACTTTGACCTTTTTGACAGTAAATCCACACACATGTTTTAACTGGGTTTTCTTGAGTATGTGGTACAGAAGATCAAAAGGGGGTTTATTTACAGCATAAAATTTAAAATTTTGACAAAAATCAAGCAATTCAGGTTAGAAAAATGGAATTAAGAATATGCTATTTTAAATTTGTGTTCATTCATGCTATTTTCCCTAAATACTTGAGTCTTCTAAAATACTTTTTAAAAATTAACCTAAGCAAAATATAGTTTTTTTCCTGAAACTGGCTTTGTGCATGCTTTTAAAACATAGTATGACAAAAATTACATGTGCTGTAAGATATAAAATATAATAAAATGCCAAATTTCAGCCTTCAAGTCAGAAAAATATTAGAACAAATATTTCCCAAAGGGATGTGATTACTTTTCTATATCTTCAAAAAATTTTGTAATGTGCATATAATACTTTTAAATCAGAAATGATAATAATGCTTTCAATACTATTAATATAAAATTATAAGGGTTTAAATCCTAAATTTTCAAAAAGTCCACTGTAAGGTTTAACAGAGATTAAAAAAAAAAACTTATGCTATAAATTTATATTTACCGACCTTCTTGGGTGAAGAACAAAGTCCTTAAACGTGTATGGTCTCTCCATTCTTGGATTTTCTGTCTAGAATAAAACAGTTAGTTTTCAAGATATATCTATAACACAAAAATACTATGTACTTTTCAAGAAAATTCATGAAGTGTGACCTCAGGCATAGTTAAGAGCGAGAAAAAGTAGTTTTTGTTTATTAAACGGTTACATTTGTAATTTGACAGTGTTTTCACCTTCCTGCATGATGGGAATTACAGCCAGCATCACAACTCAGCCTAACATTGGCTGGGCAGGTGGGCTACGGAGCCCAATGCAGAGCAGAAGAGGAGCAGTGGGGCAGCATGACAGAGTGGTTGGAAGGCGGGCACCCAGTAGGAATAGGGAATGGGTACCATGTCRGCAGGTTGACTTGGCTAGATCACAGAGACAATTCCAGAACTAAAGAATAAACAGCCTGGAAAGTCAGACTGGATTAAACACACTTTTGAAAGATATGATCTCTAAAAGTTGTCGAAAGCCAATATTTATCTCAAATAATTGACAGAGTAAAGAATTTCCTTTCTCTATTTCAAAGTTCTACAGCCCTTTGTTTTCATTACCCTTGCCTATTCTGCTGTTTTGCATTGTTAACTACCCCCTCCATCCAAAACTCAAACTCAAAACTCCTTTTAAGTTCTCATGAGACCATTTTATTTGGTTCTTTTGCATTTTCCTCTTGTCTGTCTTCTCTCTTTCTTCTTACCCACCCACATTAACTAATTTTCAGTTTGGGGTGGTCTCTTCCTGCTCTCTCTCTCTTATTTGGAGAGCTAATTAAGCTCAGATTTTGCTATTACCTGGACAGTGAGAACCCTCAATCCTTTCAGTCCCTTTTCTCTACATAGTTTATTTTTATATTTCTTTTTAATTTTTTTAGTTGTAGATGGACACAATATCTTTATTTTTATTTTTTTATGTGGTGCTGAGGATTGAACCCAGAGCCTCACATGTGCAAAGCGAGCGCTCTACCACTGAGCCACAACCCCAGTCCTATTTTTATATTTCTATTAGCAGTCCAATTTAAACTTTACATTTCCTGTTTTCTACTGAAATTCACCATGTCCAATAACAAATTCCTTGTATTTCAAAATAAAACGACTATTTCTCCTCTCTTTTCTATTCTAGATACTATTCCTATCTTTGAGTTCAACCTGTATTCTCTTTATTTTTTTGCTTCCCCTCCAACCTCCATATCAGACACTTGGTTTCCTAAATCTGTTTTCCTCCATTGCTATATTCTGAGTCCAGATGCTCAGTGTTTCAGGTTTACATTGTTGTAAAGTATCTTAGTTTCCTTCTGTGAACCTAGGGCTTTCTGTACTCTAATTATTCCACAGGATATTTCCAAATTGCTTTTCCTTAAACATGATTTCATGATGCCAACAAACTTCAATGGTGCTCTACTTCTAATTAGGATTCATATAAGGAAATACTAAAGAGAAAATTGAAATGAAAATTTGAGATAAATTTTCAGAAAATAATACACTCAAGAAATAAAAGAAATTCATAGTCACATTAATTATAACGTTACCTGTTATATATTGTGTATATTATAAGTATTTATTAAGTTAAAAATAATAAACACAAAACCCCAAATCATGGACACCTATACTAACCGGCAATGGATAAAGAGGAACATCCACTTGACCTAGGAAATCATCTCTTGTCTAGAGAAGAAAGAAAAAAAAAGATCAGTAATATGTTTAATTCTTTTAGAAGGCTTTGTTGAGATATTGCCACATTCAAAGAAAATGTGGTGTTTTTGTTGTTGTTCTAGTTGTTTAATCCTATGTAGCATCAATGGAGAACTGAAAATTAAAAGTTATGCGGTACAACTTCTGGTCATCACAGAGCAGCATATATTAAATTAACCCTTCTACAGATAATTATATGCTCAAACAAAAACAACTATTTGAAAGCATGATAGAATGACCCAAAACAAGCAGAAACTTGGGTGGCAGGGGTGGGAATGGAATGTCAATCCTTCAAAGAACAAACTGCAGTAGGCAGACTTCATATTTATATTGCTTGTCACCTGGTAGAACTTCACAGTCCATATGGTGTGAGGTGCTTAGAACTTAAGCAGAAATCTACAATGTTAACTGGTTTGAGGAGTCAGAAGAACAAATTTGGGATTAACAGCTAAACTAGAAGTGAGAAAAATAATTCCAGGAAAGAAGAAGTCACAAGAGCCCTTCATATCTATGTATAAACTGTACCCAAATCCCTAGTTTATTCCTGAACCACACAAGTGAAAGGTAACAGCTGCAAGGCTGAAAGGACTGAACACAGGTTTTAGTCAACGTCCACCAAAGGGGTGACTGCATTTGGAGTTCAGCTAAGTTAATTTGCCAGAACAAAAATCTTGTCTTCAGGGAAAGATAACAAAATTCACCGTCTTTATTATATATCGTCCAGTATATAATAAAAAAATGTGGCAATATCTCAAGTAAAGGAATATGACCTAGTATCAAGAGAAAAAGTAATCAATAGAAATCAACCACAAGATGACTCAGACCTTGGCATGAGCAGACAGACAAATTAAATCAGCTATTATAAGGATATTAAGGACTTAAAAGGAAAATGAGGTCATAATGAATGAACAGATACACAATCTAATAAAACAAAAAGAAAACTATTAAAATGAAGAAATGTATATTTTAGTACTGAAAAATACATACATGAAATAAAAAAACAGTAGATAGGTTTAACATATAATTAAAGATGAATGAAGAAAAGTTCCATGAACTTAAAGATGTATCAAAAAAAAAAAAAAAAACCTCACCCAAAATGGAAAATAAAGAGGATTTATGAAAAAAATTTAAAATAGTGTAATGTGTATGCAACAGGAATCCCAGAAAAAGGGCAGTGGCAAGGAGGAGTAAGACATAAAAATATTCTTTAAAAAAAGGAAAGAAAGAAAACAGGCAACATTTTCCCATATTTAAAAAAACCCAAGCTTAGATATTTAAGAAACTCAATGAACTGAAGTAGTATAAATATAAGAAAACATGAATAGGTACATTGTTATTAAATGCTGAAGGATAAAGAGAAAATCTTGGAAGTAGCCAGATAAAAATAACACATTATACACAGGGGAACAATAAGTGATGGATAACTCCTCATCCAAAACAATGGAAGCCAGAAGACAATAGATTGACATCTATTAAGTGCTGAAATTTTAAAAAAAGATACCTATAATTCTGTATCTAAAAAAAAGTTTTTTTAAATGAAAAGAATATAAAGAGACTTTTGTCATGAGCATAACATGCTAGAGGAATTTTCTTAGGTGGAAAATAAATGGCACCAGACAGAAATTCAGATCTAAAGGGAGAAATGTAAATTAAAAACAGCAACAACAACAATCTTCTCAATCTCTTAAAGAACAAATTGTTATTTACAGAAAACCTATATCACATATTGTGGGTTTAAAATATACCTAGATGTAATACAAATGATAATACTATACAAAATATAGGTGGATAAACTGATCTATATTTTTGTAAGATCATCTTAAATTTTATATTAAGTAGTATGATTTAGGTAAGTTAATCATTAATTGATTACAGAGTTAAAGAGTCAAAGGAAGAAATGAAATATAATAAGTACCTGATTAACCCAAAATAAGACAGAAAAAAGGAAACTAAAATAAAAACAAATTAAATATTTTTCATTTTGAAATAATTTCAGATTTATATAAAGTTGCAAAAATAATGCTAAGAATTTCCATACACTTTTTACCCAGCTTCCACAAATGTTGGTAGCTTAACTGTGATATAATGGTCAGAACCAGAAATGCCATTCACTACTCTATAAAACTTATTCAATTTTCACAAATTGTCCCACTAATTTTAATCCAGGATCCAATTCAGAATCACATATTGCATTTAGTTGTCCTGTTTCCTTAGTTTCTTTTAATCCGAAAATACTTCAGTCTTTTTTGTCGTTCATAATCTTGCCATTTTTGAAGAGTATTATAGTACTGTATAGTATAGAAGGGCCCTCAATTTGAGTTCATTTAATACTCCTTTGTGGCTCAATTTAAATTATGCACTTTTTGCAAGAATATCATAAAATGTTTATGTTCTTCTTAGTGCATTACATCAGAAGGCACATGAGGCAATATGTCCCACTGATAATACTAACTTTGATCATTTGATTAAGGTATTGTCTGCTAGGTTTTTCAAAAGTTAACATTTCCCTTTGTAATTAATAGCATCTTGTGGGAAAAATTCTTCACAGCTGTGTAAACATCTCATTTGTTATCATACTTTTCCCCACAAACCTTAACATCTCTTAATGATCTTGTGTATAATAATTACTGTGGTGTCCACCAAATGGTGATGTTCTATCTATTTCAACCATTTCCACTATTCCTTTTTTCATTAGCTAACTGGAATTCTGCTAAATTAAAGAACTTCTCCCTTTCTCTCATTTACATATTTAATTACTAATTTAAATCAGTATAGATTTATTAATATTTATTTTATCCTTTGAAATATAATCTATTATTGCCACTTATTTTGTTAATCAAGTTGTCCTAGATATGGCCATTGTGAGTTACTTCAAGTTAGTACTTGTGTATTTCTGATATATCCTCATCTTTTTTTTTTAGTTGTTGATAGACCTTTATTTTATTTATTTATACATGGTGCTGAGAATCGAACTCAGTGCCTCACACATGCCAGGCAAGTGTACTACCACTGAGCCACAGCTCCAGCCCCTATCCTCATCATTTTTTAGCACTTCCCAACCTTTTGGCACCCTAAGATGCTCCATGGTCAGCATATACTCTCTTTAGCCCTGTCCTGCAATCATTCATTTCTTCTAAGGACCCTGATAAACTTTATCTGAGAATGGTATTTTTTTTAACATTTTAAAAACATTGTTCTTTTAAAATATACATGACAGTAGAGTGAATTTTGACATATTATACATATATGAAGTATAACTTATTCTAATTAGGATCCCATTCTTGTGGTTGTAACATGATGTGGAATTTCACTGGTTATGTATTTACAAAAGAACACAGGAAAATTATGCCTGATTCATTCTACTGTTTTTTTAATATTCTGATTTTTTTATTGTATTGTATTCTCTTAAAGCAGAATATTCAGCTTCTCAAAGTTAATAACAGTTTATCTTTCTGAAGTTAGAGCTTTTGAAATTCTAATTGAACTTTTTACCAAAAAAAAAAGACTTTGGATTTTTCTCTTTTTATGTTCTAAAAAGTATTTTACCTTGAAATTCGTGTCATTAAAATATTTTTTAAAGTATTATTTACTGACCAAACTGTGCCTACGCCACATGGTTCTGTTTAAAACTACCTGGCATTCTAAATTCTCACATTTTCAAGCATTCTTAAGTAACTTATATTTTACTAAATGCAAATTTGCTTTCTGAAGTAATACAGTTCAAATGTAGGAAATAACTCTTGCAAAGAAATGCTTGATATTCAGAATTTGGAACAATTGGTTGGCGAGGGAAACATTAATGAACATCACAGACTGACTTGCCTTCATAGGAATGAATTTAAACCTATAACTTTTACTTTGTCAATGGAAAAAGAGTCTCTAATTGTCCTATATTTATAGCAACCATATTTCCCAAACTTCCCAGGGTACTTCCCAGTTTCATATTCTTCATCTCCTTCTCAGACCGTACATGCTCATTTTTTTAGATTGGAAAATATTTTGAGGATCATTTTGTTTTACAAAATGCTAGGAAACTCATTACAGGACTCATTTGTTTTAAAAAAGGAAGATAATGTGTTGGCAAAAAAATTAATATTTTTCTTTAGTTGTAGATAGGCATAATGACTTTATTTTATTTATTTATTTTTATATGGTGCTGAGGATCAAACCCAGTGCCTCATACATGCTAGGCTAGCACTCTACCTCTGAGCTATAAACCCAGCCCCCCCMAAATATTTTAAATGCATTTTTATATACCTAGAGGCACTTGAGACAAGAAAATTTTTACTGTGTGGGATTTTTTGTTCTATTTTTGTTGTTGTTATTGTTTTTTTTTTTTTTAACAAATACAACATGGAGGAATAAAAATGGGACTTCTTAGGAAGATGGGACAAGTTTTCTTTCTGTCCTCGGTGACCCAGCATTGTCTCTGCAATGGAAACTGAAGCCATAAGGCAAGTGTATAAGTTATGAGATTTTAAGGAACAAAGCACAATAAGCTCATGAAAAGATGTTCAATATCATTGATCTTCAGTGAAATGCAAACAAAATCCCAATGACATTCTACTTCATAGCTACTAGGAGAGAAATTCTTACAAAGACAGGCCAATATCCATGGGGAGAACTTGCAACCCTCATTCAAGCTGATAGAAATATAAGATAGTGGGCTGGGGATGTGGCTCAAGTGGTAGCGCGCTCGCCTGGCATGCGTGTGGCCCGGGTTCCATCCTCAGCACCACATACAAACAAAGATGTTGTGTCTGCCGAAAACTGGAAAATAAATATTAAAATTTTCTCTCTCTCCCTCCCTCTAAAAAAAAAAAAAGAAAGAAATATAAGATAGTGCATCCACTTTAGAAAACAGTCTGGCAGTTCTACAAAAGGCTGAACAGAATTGCTGTATGACCCAGCAATTCCACTCCTAAATATATACACAAGAGAAATGAAAACATATGTTGGCCCAAGAACTTGTA